TTTAGTCGCTTGGCCTTTCATGGAGATAAGAATAGTGCAACTGGACATAACCCCACTTTTCAGTGACTAAACAAAGCAGTAACATAAATGGATATGTCTACATAGCCGTCAAATTGAATTTGCATGTGAGCCGGGATGGCAGTTGCTATAGCAACTAGGTTACAGACGGACAATCAAGGAATCGGAGTTCGATTTATCTTCTCTTCCAAACCAGCTCTTGGGCCCACCTAACCACCTATACAATGGGCACCGGGGTCTATTTCCCCAGGAGTAAAGTGGCAGGGGAGTGATTCTTACCACTCACCTGTATTTAATGCTGAGTTTAAGAATGGTGGTGCTAAACCTCCAATCATCCGTACGTGTTCATGACATATTGCTCAGTTGACTAAGGCCAGGTATAACTTTGAATCTGTGTATGTTATATGGCTGTTAAAATGTACAAATATAGGTTAAATTATGAAACGTTTAAATACTTACAGGATGTTTACAGATGTCAGTTTGGCATTGACAGTGGCCTAATGAATATTCATTAATAACAGTTCATACAGATTTTAATCAGTAGCAATATTCTGTGCCAGTCATTAATATCTCTTATGTGACGCTCTAAATAGAGCTGTCAATAAGGCCTGATGAATTGATGGTACATTAGGTGGCCATTCTTCTCGGGGTCTGATTATGTTCATAACTGTGAACTTGACGTTATGGATAAAAGCAGACTGACAGGTTTTTGTGCGTACAGTATTTCTGTCAAGTGCCTTTTTCTGTTGTCATCATGCAAGTGACATTTCAAGCCCATTTTGTAGTATTGTCTTGCCTGTGACTATTCTTCATTCATGTTAAAGTCATAACCCTTCCATACAGTAACAAAGGAGTCTCTCCATGTTTTATAGAATTGAAATGTTTGTTACTGTGCTTAACTGTATCCTGCCAAAGCCAGTTGAATCCAGTCTCATGCCCACTCTTTCCTGCAGATTTTCTGACAAAAATATGGTAGACATTTCTCACCTTCCTCAATCATCCTACATATCGTGCGGTCTGTTTCATCACATGAATAATATTTACTGAAAACAAAAAATGATGCTACTCATTATTTCCCCTTGTCTTTATCATGGCTTCTTAAATGGCCATTGTAATTAGATATGTTTCTTTGTGGTAGAATCCTACAGGGTGTCATTTTAAACATAGTTATTTCTAATCCATAAATATATTACTTACTTACTCATGGAGCTGAGCCCTTCTGGAGGACCCGCCAATTCTGCAGCTACTCAAGAATTTCCCAGCATTTTATGGAACCTGAAGGTTCATTGCTGTTGTGGGATGTTATATGAAGAGACAACCACTAGTTGAACTGTCCTATAGTATTTATTACAGTTGCATCATATACACAGACGAACTTGCGTTTGAAGACTGAAGAATAATAATAACAATAATGAACCACTGAACCAGAATTGTAGAACTGTAGAATCTAGAATTGTAACTACAACTTCCACTCAATGTATCTTCTTATGTAACCTAGAGTCAGACATATAGAAAACCTGTCACTGTCCATATTTTTGTAGGCTTTGCCTAGCAACCGCTGTTTACTCTACTGCCGTCCTCCTCTTCTTCTTTTGTGCCCGCTGCTCCGGCCACTCCTTTCCTCCTCGTCGCTGCTACGGCCGCTCCGGCTTGCCGCTCCTTTCACCTTTACCCTTCCTGGCAATTTGGGTTCAGAAGTAACCAGGTTGGATTTAGGATAATGGTAGGCATGGATCTCTATCTCAGGTCGATAACAGGTCTTTCTTCATAGAAACTTTAACATGACTAACCTGTGGCTTTACCTTAGGTTTAATATACTCATTTTTGGTCACAATCACTATTTATGGCAGTTACATTTACACTGTTTCGCTTACAGAGGCGATTCTATAAAGAACAAAGCAAGTGCCTCCACTCACTAGGAGGATCTCTTATTATATATTGCCTACTACTGGCTCGGCGACGCTAACGGACCTACGGGCCTTCCCAGCACCACACCTTAGATGACATCATTCCCCACATCAATCCGGGGATCCACCACCCCTTCTCCATCTGCAAACTGCACATGTGAAATAATGCAGTGCTATTATCACGTAGGCACCTCCCCTCCAGGGCCTCACACATTCGAGTCCAGTAGTAAACGGTTACAACTCGTCGTTGCTAAGCAGTGAAGCTTGTGTTGTCACACTTGCTTGTATGCGGGCAGTTCCCACACTGTGTTCAGAGGAGCCCTCCACTGGTCCATATCCTGAGCCAGATCAGTCTAATCCATACCATCCCATCCTATCTCTCTAAGATCAATTTTAATATTGTCCACCCACCTACGCCTTGGTCTTTCCAGTGGTCGCTTTCCTTCTGGCTTTCCCACCAATATCCTATATGCATTCCTCGTGTCCCCCATTTGTGCTACATGCCCTGCTCACCTCATCCTCCTTGACTTAATCATTCTAATTATACTTGGAGAAGAGTACAAGTTATGAAGTTCCTCATTGTACAGTTTTCTCCAACCTCCTGTCACTTCATCCCTCTTCAGTCCAAATATTCTCCTCAACGCCCTGTTTTCTGTAAATACACATATATAGTGATTGAAAAGTGATCAGAACAGGGTTGCGAGGGACTGCATGTCTGCAATGGATTTTTTCCTTGCAAAATTCCACAGATGGCAACTAAATTCATGAGCTTGTTGTTTCATAAGGCATCCAGCATTAATTCCCTGGAATCTAAACAAAATTTATTTCGGAACTGGGCTCATGTAACATAATTGCCTTCACAATGACATTATTACATGTCAGTGAAATTCCTTCCTGTAATCCTAGCAACACTAATGATTAATTTTGTGTGCATTGTTAGCAATGTATCTGATTCAGGCCATTGGTTTTATAATTGGTTTTGAAATTCAAATGATGTCAGTTTTGAGAATGTATTCCTAATACCATAATCTAAGTCTCGTTTCTGATGTGCATGTGTGCATGCGCTCATGCATTCATGCGTTCAAGTAGCACCTGGACCCTTCTGTACATCCGTCGTTAATAAGGCTAGTCAAATCTATACATCCTGATGAACCATTCCTTTGTATATCATTTTCATGTCATCCTTAAGTCCATCTCTCACTCAGTGCACATACATTGCTGACTGTAACACTTGCCTGTCTTATCTTCTTGATCTATTTCCCAGCTCTAACTGACCCATGTGCCCTGTTTATCTGCCAGTTCTCTCAGTCTCATGTATCTGACCTCTTCCATTTTTGTACCTGCTCCCCACCACCCTTCCTTTTCTTGGTCTCATCTTTCTTGCCTGTTTCATTTACTTACCAAACCCCAGCTCTCCATCCTCTCAGCCACATCTGCCTTACCCCTTCCATTCACTTACAAAGATCAAACTCTCCAACCTCTCAGCCACATCTGCCTTACCCCTTCCATTTGCTTACCAAGCCCCAACTCTCCATCCTCTCAACCAAATCTGCCTTACCCCTTCCATTCGCTTACAAAGATCAAACTCTCGAACCTCTCAGCCACATCTGCCTTACTCCTTCCATTCGCTTACAAAGACCCAACTCTCCATCCTCTCAGCCACATCTGCCTTACCCCTCCCTTTTGCTTACCAAGTCCCAACTCTCCATCCTCTCAGCCACATCTGCCTTACTCCTTCCATTTGCTTATCAAGCCCCAACTCTCCATCCTCTCAACCAAATCTCCCTTACTCCTTCCATTCGCTTACGATGCCCAAATTCTCCATCCTCTCAACCACATCTGCCTTACCCCTCCCTTTTGCTTACCAAGCCCCAACTCTCCATCCTCTCAGCCACATCTGCCTTACTCCTTCCATTTTCTTACCAAGCCCCTACAGTTTTATATTCCCTCAACACAATCTGCCTTGAATTTTTCCGTTTTCTGTCATTTGATTACCAAGTCTCAACTCCCTTCCTTCTCTCATTTCCTTCTGTCTCTTCCATTCCCTTACCAAACCTAATCTTATTATACCACATTTGTCTGACCTGCTCCATATGCTTATAAGTCCCAACTGCACTTCCTTTTGTCAGTCCACCTACCTTTCATCCATACTTGTCTTAACTCAGTTGCCTTGTTCTCATTTACTTACTAGCATTGAATCATGTATGGTGCCAACTTACTATGCCTGTCTGAATATTACAGTCATCTTTATATCTTGTCTGTCCATTGTATTACCTGACTTACTAAAATAACATGTAGCTAGTAATGGAGTTATCTTCTTGACCAGCATTCACTTTTCTTTTAATTGTTTCTTTAGTAGAGATTATTCAAAACTGTGAAAATAAGGTTATAATCAGACTTTCTGTAAGAAAATTATGTTGACTGTTTTTATCAAGGAGTTCAGCAGTTAAGATGAAAACACACAACAGACTGATCACATAATTACATTTTCTGTGCATATTTACAAATTCAGGCATCTTGGCTATGTCATTTCATGTGTGTGAATATTTGCATTGTGTGTCCAGCCACTGGAAACCACAAATTTTCATGTGGGTTCCCATATGACTAACATTTGTTATATTATTATTATTAAATTCTTTGGTCAGTACTTCTTTGTATACCTCTTGAAGTCCATGAAACTTGGATCTCCTGTGTTCTGTGATTGACAGTACTTTGTCTGGCTTGGGACAGATTGATCCCAATGATAGTTGAGATTCTCATGTTACTAGGTGAAAAATTAGATTTTCAACTTTATGTTAGTCTTCACTTGTGCTCTGAAGATGAAATAAACACGTTCCTCTGAAACATTGCTAACCTAGAAGACCACAATTAAGTCCTAAGGTATTTCCTATTTATTGTAAGATCTTGTCTGTAATCAGGTCTCCTTGAACTCGTTCTTCCATTGTTTATTTCGTTTTTGAACTTGTTGAGACATTAGTAAAATCTTCTGTATTCACCTGTTCATCACATTTACTTCAAATATTGCATTCGGTTTTTTCTGTGATTCTTTGTCTTACTCGTTTTTCTCTGTTTCAGGCGATATCCGAATACTACAAAGCTCGTATTGAGAGCAGACCATTCTCACATCTTATGATGGACTTGTACAGGGAAGCATTGGAAACTACACCTCAGGTAAGTAGTAAAAGCATTGACCATTCTATATGTTCACCAGTTTAGCAATTTATTTGTTTGGGTTCATCACATATCCTTATTTTGAAGTAGCTCTGCAGGTGTGAGTATACATCGTAAACTGTGCGTGTGTGTGTGTGTGTGTGCGCATGCGTGGATGTTTTTTTTTAAATGAGTTAATAATGCAAATTACTTATAGAATCATATCCTTCTATTTTTCTTCTACTTCTCCTATATTGACAGGTTAAGCACTCTGGCCTGTTCTGCCTCAGAATTCAATTCTTAGGATGCAGTAGGAACCTCTGGATGGGGGATTAGCCCATCACAAGACAACGCAGAACAAAATGAGAAAAATTTACAGACATCTATGGATTTGAATCCTGAGACCTTTTATGCAACTTACACTGCACCGCCACCTGAGATGTATGACATTTTAACCTTCTGATGAAAATTTTCAGAATCAAACCCTATCCCATAACTGCTACGTAAAAGTTGAAAGTGCGGAGGTAAATCCCATACCCTCTTAGTTATTCTACAGGTGGAGTTTCTCCCAAGGAAATTTCGCCCAGTATCTACTGGATTGGAGTCTGCATGGCCCCCAGAACACAGACTTAATACTGACAATTATTATTTTAATAGTCAAACAGTGCTTCAGTCTCATGCGGTTTCTCTCATTGGTTCTGTCATATTAGTAATTATTTTCCCTTCTTTTTCCTGTAGCTGCAGTAGACAGTCTACTGTGTCCTGTAGAGGCCATCTCTGTATGATGTTATAAAAGTCATATCTGGTTTCTATGAATTTGTGACTTGATCAGTGAAGGTGTCTTGCGTGCCATTAAACTTATGGGTAAAATGACTTATGAAGGTCCTCCATTACGTTACTGCAGTTTTTCCACCAAATGTAATTAGTCACTGTGCCTAATTTTTTTAAATTAACTGATCTATGTATTATGTGTTATGACTTGATTATATAAATTCCTTTCACAATATTTAGTATAATTTTTTTATCTTAAAATATAGTTTCCTTTCTGTGATTTTAGTGCCTTCCAGCCAAGGGAAATGTGATGCAACCTGACACTGTAATGAGTTCAACACAGAGAAGGACTAATAGCTTTCCCAAGGACTACCAAAGAAGACTTACTAGTGAAGATGGACTTATGAAAATTAAGAAGAGGTATTTACTCATATTGTAACTTATATAATGATAATCCTACAATAATGGTGTGAACCTAAGGATTATTACCATTTAACCTATTTTAATAATTAGAAGAGGAGACATAAATGTATATGTGAACAAGAGTTAACAATAAAACCTAAAAAATAATAATGACCAAAGATGTTGTTTATATATATATATAAATCGATACTTCATTAAGAATCAAAAGTACTAAAGAAGGATAGTCTCCTCTAAATGATTGTTCTGTGTTGTGCTATGTTGTCTTGTGCTGTATTGTTTGATCAACGCTGTTCACGTTTTTATGTTAAATACTTCTCTTTTCATTGGTCAGATTTGATTTAGTACCATTTTTTATGTTCACAGATGTTTATTAAGCCTTTTAGTAAAATAATAATAAAAAAAATACTTTTCCTTCATACATTCAAGTGTGCACAAAATAGTGTATTTTTCTCTTCAAAGCTGCTCACAGAACACTAAAACTGAACGGCCTCTTTCAAGATGTCCTGTGCAAAGAGCTCCATCTAGACTATATCGAGCTACAGCAGCATCATCAAGAGAGATAGATCCTCATTCAAAATATTGCTGTCCCAACACTTGCATTGGTCCTGAGTTCATCGTAAGGGCTACGAAGCCCAGCAAAGAGATCCGCATTAAAGGAGTAAAGGTACATTTGTCTTGGAAGATTCATGTCAATAGGAAACTGAATTCAAAGTGACATACGGGCTTCTGATCTATGCTGGCAATGTAAATTTTCCAGGCAGAAGCATAAATTTCATAAAGTAAAACAGAGAATTTCTGTTAAAAATTTGATTCAAAAGTGTGAAATAGGAAAGTTGGACACATTCACAGAGTCTAACTGTCCAGCCCTTTCTTTTGGCACCAACTCATCTCTAACCGCCCTTTTGCCCCTTTGTTGCTGGTTGCAGCTGCTCCTCTAGCCACGTCCTCTCACCTGTTGTTACTCCAAGTTTGCAGGTTGCTGCTGCGTCCTTCTTATCCAGTTTTTTCCTTTTTTGTTTTTGTTGTGGATATTTGTTGTTTGCGGGATATGGATTACATGAATGCTGGTCGCCAGTAAGCTTACTATAAAGGCTTACATTTCGGGGAAAAAAGGGGGGATGAACCAGAAACTACGTGTGATAGGTACTGCATTCTCACTAGAGCGATGAGATTCTGTCTCAGGGTGCATACAGGCCTCGCGTTAGCGGGAAAGATAAGAGTATTTATAGCTAGGCACTACCACACTTGGTTTAATGAGCAGTTCTTGATATACAGTTAACAACATTTGTCCTTAATCCCATAAACAAACTTGAAATCACTCAAACTGAAATCCAGGATCGAACCCGGGCCGCCACGGTGGGAAGCCAGTGACTAACTGCTTGAGCTATGGCGCGGCCTTTGTTGTAGTTCTGGTGACCTTTGGAGTGTGTAACTCAGTGAGGCTGACTTTATTTGTAGTCACGAATTTTAAAAGTAAAATAAACCCAGTTACCAATCCAAATGCTATCTGTAGTCACAAATGATGTGACAGTATTGTAGCATGTAGGCTTGGTCATGCAGTGATTGCAAGATAGGAGGATATACCAAGGCCGTTTCTGGGCAACAGCTTAGTAAACACGTTCCTGCAGCAACAAACATGAATGCAACATTAGAAGAGCTGTGTTTTCTTTGTGGTCCATGTTAAGATGTTATAAGCAGGGTACAAGGTTAGAGCTTAGTCAATTCTGTATGGGAGTCTCTGGAGAAAGGACTTGAGCCAGAGACAGGGAATAGTCATTATTGGAGCCTTTACCAGAGAATGTATAGTAACAAACTGAGAACACTAGACTGTGTGCTCTAATGCACTGTAAATTGTATAAATAGCAATAGTGTTATAGTCATTTTGTACTTAGGACCTGTAAGTGGTCCGTAAATCTGTTCACCAATCCAAATCCCATCTATAGTCACACTAACTCATGACAATATGTATACATTTTGTAAACCATTGTGTCAGACCTAAGTGTGTATGCAGTGAGAAATGTAATCAGGCTACTACAGTGGACATGGTTTTTGTAAACCACTGTGTCAGACCTAAATGTGCATGCAGTGAGAAATGTAATCAGGCTACTACAGTGGACATGTGTAGAAAATAGAAACATATTCTTGGACTGCAATTTATGTATGCAAAAGTATCTAACACTGCTTTTATTCTTTTGAATTTATTTTTAGGCAACTTGTACTAAAAAAGTTGTAGTCATATCACTGAATGGACAGAAGACGAATGTGACATGTGATCCAAACACAGCAACTGCAGGACAGATATTTGAGGTACAGACATCAGTGAATTTTATTAGTACCAATATAAGGAAATATTGTGCCTTTTGAGTTTTGACTGATGACTTTGTCACTATTATCCATTTTCAGTTTTTGCCTGCTCTTGTGTCAACAATACCTGCAAACCACAAACATTTGTTAGTTGATGAAGATGCAAGATGAATTCTGAAATTCCTACTGTATTTGTCTTGTGGGGAGTACTTCATAGAGCAAAACAAATAACATGGCAATTCCTCAAGTAGAAGTTGTAGTCATTCGCATCTAATGAATTCTGGTGAAGTTTTTGCTGAGAATGGAAACAAAATTCTAGACGTTTTAACCTGTTACTGTTAACCTGTTAACAGCTTTTGTGTTTACATCATTAAGGTATTTCCAAATTAGAAAATATTTTAACACATTGCGGACCGGTGGTTTAAACATTTAAATCGCCCTGGGGGCCGGCGTTTTTAAACCTACTACCCTAACTTGTGCACTGTTCACTTTAAAAATTAATATAAAATCTCCTAATGAATTTTATGAACTGAAATTTTTGGAGAACACTTACCAGAGCTCCTAGAAGTGCTTGCGCATGTGATATCTCTGGAAACATTTCCCTTTGTGAAGAGGCATTATGCAGAAGTTGCACATGTAGGCAGTTCTACTCTTCTCCTTGTGCTCTGCGCACACACGGCACTGCCTAGAAGGGTGTTTCTTCTTGCAATATTCACTCTTCACAGTTTTCACGAGAATATGTTTCCGCATATCACCCGAGAGTTGGCCAGGGGGGTCTACTTGAGGCCTCCGGCGGGTGCGAACAGATGGCCCCGGCTGCACTATGTCTGTGTCTGACGCAGGTACTGCCACCACCGTGATGTCAGTAGCCCAAGCTTTTGCCAGTTTCAACAGAAATGCTTTGTATTTCAAAGTAGAATTTCATTATTGTTGAAATGCAAACACCACCATATCTGTTCAAATCTCTTACGACTCATGAGTTTGCCGAAAATTGCAATTTCTAAAAATGGGTCACTTGACCAATAATCCTTCAAACTTTCTCTCTTCGTAAACCCCATTAGAATGATTATAGCCAAAAAATTTTTCATTTCTGTTGAAGTGACATCCACCCACTTCAGAACCTTATTGGTTCTGTCGTACGCCTCACGGTGTTGGAGATAGTATCTGTTAGTTTCCTGACACAACAGGTCAAAGAAACTATCTCCAAAAACAGTGACGCAACTTCAGACATGTTTGTTGGGTCCGATGGCATCTGCTTCACTCCCGGATCACCAGTAAACTTTCCCAAAGTGGGGGTTTTGTCCACTTTATCCCATGTAGCTGTCCCGACACTTGCACTTTCAACGGAGCTCTCACTTTCACTTGACACATTTTGGGCAGCCCTGTGGTCACTGTCACTGTCACTGATAATGGCCTCGCTATCAGAAGACGAAGCAGTCGGCAAATCTGATAGCTCATCGGAGAACATATCTAATATTTCCTGTCCTCTGAGAGATCGCAACTGCTTTCGTCTCTGAGCCATGTTGAACTGGTAGCTGCGTGGTTCATACGTGCAAGCTTGGATTAGAACAAAGCCAATTTTGTTTAGGTTGTGACAGGAAATGACTCTGGTCGAGTTACTAGATAAGGCAGCAATCATTCCCGAGGTAATCTACGCAGTAGTTACGATTCAACGAAGCCACACAGCGATATATAGTGTTTTGCAACATAACGTGACCGTAGAGGGCCATATGGCCCGCCCGGTCCACAACGCTTGGAAATGTAGAGGGCCATATGGCCCCTCCGGTCCGCAATGTGTTAAAGAATTTTATAGAATTTTGTTTTAAATTAGAACATCGGCAGCAGCAGCAACAAAAACAATGAAAACAATAAGAATATCAACAACATCAACAACAGTAATAACTGAAATAGGGATGAAAGACTCAGATGTTCATGAATTGTCTGAAGAATATTTAAATGATAATTTTCTGGTCCATAATTGAATACTGCTCAGGATAGGGACCAGTGGAGGGCTCTTGTGAACATGGTAATGAACCTTTGGGTTCCATAAAATGCTGGGATGTTCTAGAGTAGCTCTCAATTGGCGGTTTCTCAAGGACTCAGCTCCATGAGTGAGCGAGTGAGCTGAATACTGGATAGGTGTGATGGAATGTAAAATATCTGTAAGTCAGTTTCTTGTCAAATTAAAATACGTGTATGTTTTACACTAGCATTACTGAACTGAAGAGATCTATATATATATCATACATAAACAGAATTGTTGTTGAGAAAATGAGGAAATGTGATTTTGAATAAAGAATATCTGTTTGGACGCTATAACATATGTGCTGTTAATAATGGTAGTTTTTTTTAAATTCGCTTAGTTGGATGTGGAGTCCAACTGGGTCCACTCGGCATGGCAGCCACTGATTGGCCTATTGTAGCCTGCCCCGGGTGATTATGATGATGGAGAATTTGGTGGAATGAAGATTGGCAGGAGAAACCGAGGTTCTCGGAGGAAACCCACCCCAGCGCCACTTTGTCCACCACAAATCCCACTTGACCAGACCCGGGATCAAACCCGGGCCGCCGCAGTGAGAAGTCAACGACTAACTGCTTCAGCTATGGTGTGGCCATAATAATGGGAGTTGCTGCTGAAATTTTCACATAGTGCCAGCAGTAAATGATTCATTATGGCCTCAGTATTTGCAGAAATACTCTTACGTAATCCTTTCTGCTGTAAATGTTTTGATACCACCTTCACGCATTAGTGCATAAGATTTGAGTAACTGAACTAAGTATACATTTTCAACACACATCGGTAAGAAAGAGTCTTTCTGTAGTCAAAAATGCTTGCATTAGGATATTCAGGCATGGATTTAAGCTATAACTCCCAGCAGTTAATGTGATAAGTGTTCGCATTTCCACTCTCATTGTATTGTATATATTTTATTATTTATTTATCCATTGCCTATGATTAGATATATTCCAGTTACATTTATTTTATATTTATTTCAGGTTGTAGTAATCAGTGAGGGACTTGAAGACAACTTCACATTAGGTCTGGCAGCATTGTTAGGTGGTGAATTTGCGTTTCTACCTCCTGAAACAAAATTACACAAAGTGGCACCTGCAGGATGGTGTGGAGACTCCAAGAAACATACTATGCCAAGTTGTGTATTTACTCTATATCTCAGGGTCAAATTCTTCATGCCAAGTCTCAGAGGAGTACGGTATGTATCTGTTGTTTTGCCCTTCTGTCCACATCTTACTTATTGGTATAACTAAATAACTTCATGGAGCTGAGCTCTTCTTGAGAAGCCGCCAGTTGTGCAGCTACTCAAGAACTTCCCAACATTTTATGGAACCAGAAGGTTCATTTCTGTGTTCACAACAGCCTTCCACTAGTCCCTGTCCTGAGCCAGATTAATCCAGTCCACACAACCCCATTTTATCTCTTTAAGATCCATTTTATTATTATCCATCCAACTACATCTTGGTCTTCTTAGTGGTGTTTTTCCTTCTGGCTTTCCCACCAATATCGTATAAGCATTTCTCTTCTACCCCATTCTTGCTAAATACCCTGCCCATCTCATCCTCCTTAGCCTGATCATTCTAATTATAATTGGCAAAGAGTACAAGTTATGAAGCTCCTCATTATGCAGTTTTCTCCGACTTCATGTCACTTCATCTCTCTTCAGTCCAAATATTCTCCTTAGCATCATGTTCTCAAACATCCTCAATCCATATTCCTCCCTTAGTGTCAGAGACCATGTTTCACACCCATATAGAACCAGAGGCAAAATTAGTTTTGTGTATTCTAATTTTTTACATTTTTAGACAGCAGACAAGAAGACAAAATGTTCTGGTGGCAAGTGTTACCTGAATTCCATCTCCTCTTAATTTTTTCCCGAATCAAATTCTGATTTGTGCACGTAGTTTGCAAGGCCTGAAAATGGTGGAAGAAAAGTTTTAAGAGTTCATAGAATTCTGATACCTTCTGATGACCCTAAAGTACTTCCCAGGATTTGGTACATTGTTTTAATTTAGACAGATATAACTAAGACCATTTCTAAACATGTACCTGATTGTATGTATCTGATGCACTGAACCAGTCAGGAGCTGTGTCAAATCGGAACAAAATAACTCGGCTATGCATTGCTCCGGTTTGATTACCAGTGAACACTTTGTGAATTTTTCTCTTTGTGTACACCTTCAGACTGGCCGTAGATTCCATAGCTAATGTGGACACTTTTCCTGACATAAAAGTATCAATTCATCACTCACCCTTTTCTTTTGTTAATAATAAGAGAGAAACAGGGTGTTTTGGAAGCAGGTTCTGATTCTGTCATCAGGGAAGTGTGTGAGATTTTCTCACCTGCTATCATGGTTATGATGGTGTTATGACAAAGGAATATATTTATCTACTATATTTGCTTTACTTACTGCCCTTCTGTTAGGACAGTCATGTCTGTATTGACACTGCAGCACATAATATTTCAGCTGCATATACATGTATCTTATGAAGAAACTTGATTAATTTTTACACCTTTCAAAAGAATCATGTTGGAAACCATCAAATAGTATTATAACATGTCTTGGTTACTGAAGACGCCGTAGAGATCGTTAATTGGTTTATTCAACAACCTACAAATAACGGCTACAATTAATTATAACAATATTGCGGGGTTTCACACTTTACAACCCTAATCGCATTAATCTGTTAACACTGTTGCGGGGTTTCACGATTTATAACCCTATGCACAAATCAGTTCACTGTATCTTCAGTAGTCTACACGTTTACAGTAGGGGAGCTATGTATCACTGTATCACACGCTCCCAATTACACAATTACACACACGTCCGGTTCTTCTTTCCACGACGGCTGCTATACTCCAACTGTAATCAGCTGACTGGAGAACTGTTGATAACACACTCGCTCGTAGGCTTGCTCGGAACTAACTCGGAACTGAACTCAGCGATGGCCGCATTACAATTACTAACTCGCAGGCAGCGCAGATCTCTTATATAGGGGCTGTGTGGGCCTGTTACGTAGCAACGCTGTTACCTCACGCTGTCTTACATCACCACACGTTGCGCGTTACGTTACCGTGCAGAGGGGGATGACGGAGTGCTGACTCACCCGCCGCGTCACTGCTGGTGGGGGGGGTTCTCCGTTGCGCAACATGTCACACTGCTCCCTCCTTAAGGCTGTTCATCCCGAATAGCCTAACGGTGCATCCCTGTTAATTTTCTTTGGAGGCTATTCTTGCAGCATCTCCTGTTTCGGCTACTTCTCTCCAGCGACTATCGTGCGGCCATTACAACAGCTCCCCTCTCGAGACCTGCTCGTCTCGAGCGGTTTCCTTTCAGCTCGCCAGAAGATCCAGTTGTGTCCCATTCATCCATCACTTTCATTCTATGGCACATTCACTCTCTCTGGGGAGGCCGGTTCTTCTATTTTACCGGCTCCTCTTCTGTGCCCTGCATCTTTATTCGTTTTGGAGGGTGTCGACCCCTCCACAGTGTCCAGATTTTACTTCTCTGTAATGGGACAGATGTGAAAATTCGCTTTGCGATTTCCAATCCCTTTGTCCTCCTGTGGGTCTTGTTAAATTCCCACTTGCTTTCAAGCCGTAGCTGGTCATCGAAGTCTCGAGTCTTGATTTCCTTGGTGCCTTCCGGGCGCATCAGTTGTTTCTATCTGGGAGTCCATCCTTTCTGGGTTCCTCTCGTAGAACGGTTTCTGGTCCAATTCTTCTGCCGTCCCTGCTCGGCTGGCGGTCCTTCTTTCCGCTGGCATCCGAAGGTTCCCTGGGGAGTTTCCTTCTTGAAGTAATTTCTCCAACATCGTGCCACTGTCGCGCGATGGGATATCTTCCTACAGGTGGCAGCCAACTTCATCTGGGGTCCACAGTTTTCCCATGTTGAATTCTTTATATTTCATCGATGTTGGTCCCTGCGCCTTTTCTTCTTCGGTTCTCCAACCGGCATTACTTCGTCGTCTTGTACGGGTACCTCTAGTAGTTCTGCCGCCTCAGGTTTCCTGTGCACTGAAGCTGGCTTTTCTTCTTCTGGATGTGCCTCCATTTCTCGGCAGGCCATCGTCTCTCTGACCAGTATTGCAATGGGGACCTCTTCTTGTTGTGCAGCTGCAGGTTTCGTGTCCACTGGGCAGGCCAACGTCTCATTGTCTTCGTTAGGAATCAACTGTCGGTTAACTACAACCGCTTTTCCTCTTGGATTTTTCTCCGTTGCATCCTGGCAGGCTGTCGTCTCTTCCTGCCAGGCATTGAAGTCAGCGACTAATTTTGTCAGCATGACGTCGATTTGTTTTTGGTTGACGGCTAATTTGGCCAGGAAATCTTCTTTGTCTTTCTTCCTATTTGCCTCCATTTCTTCTTTGTCAACCTTCCTATCGGCCTTCATCTCTTTCAGCATTTCCATTATTCATTGCAAATCTTGTTTCTCCATTTTGTAGCAGTAAAGTACGTGATGCACAATAATTAGTTTGTGGCTTGTTTAAGTTCAGTTGTAACTGACACCAGTTGTAACATGTTTCAAGTTCGACTCTTGTTGGTCATGTGTGTAAGTCCAAATCCCACTTCTGACACAAGTTGTAACGTGTCTTGGTTACTGAAGATGCCGTAGAGATCGTTAATTGGTTTATTCAACAACCTACAAATAACGGCTACAATTAATTATAACAATATTGTGGGGTTTCACACTTTATAACCCTAATCACAATAATCTGTTTACACTGTTGCGGGGTTTCACGATTTATAACCCTATGCGCAAATCAGTTCACTCTATCTTCAGTAGTCTACACGTTTACAGTAGGGGAGCTATGGATCACTGTATCACACTCCCAATTACACAATTAGACACACGTCCAGTTCTTCTTTCCGTGACGGCTGCTATACTCCAACTGTAGTCGGCTGACTGGAGAACTGGTGATAACACACTCGCTCGTAGGCTTGCTCGGAACTAACTCGGAACTGAACTCGGCGATGGCCACATTACAACTACTAACTCGCAGGCAGCGCAGTTCTCTTATATAGGGGCTGTGTAGGCCTGTTACATAGCAACGCTGTTACCTCATGCTGTCTTACGTCACCGCGCGTTACGTTACCATGCGGAGGGGGGATGACGGAGCGCTGACTCACCCGCCGCGTCACTGCTGGTGGGGGGTTTCTCCATTGCGCAATATGTCACAGTATATTCACATTCTGTGAAATTTATCAATTCCTGACTTAAAGTTCTTTAATTTAATATCTTAAACAAGTATATAATCTTCCATAGACAGTAAAATGTGTACAGTTTACAATCTGAGTAAGCCACATAAGCCCAAAATATTTTGCAAGTACTGGTAACCGTGAGTATCCATATTTGCTGACAAATACATCTATAAGGTCTACTGGTGGATGATGAATCATCTCTTGTCTTGTAACATTACTTGTTATATTTGGTAAATCATTACTGACTTTTTGCTATATTTTTTTAGGAATTGGACCATGAAACACCTACTATATCTTCAGTTACGTAGGAGTTTGTTAGAGCAACAGATACAGTGTGATATTGACCAACATGTTGCTTTGAGTGGCCTTGCACTTCAATCTGAGTTTGGAGACTACTCAGACCAGGTAAGTAACCCATATTATTGAAGAAATAATGTATAGACTATACAGAGCCCATTGAATATACAATGGGGAGTTGATCAAATCAAACTTCATCAAAAATTTCTGACATTGTAACTTGAAAATTTCTGGAAAGACAACTATATGTGTTATAAAAAGCTGTAGATTGTTAATGGGTACTGGTGTTATGACTTATTATGTATGTATCAATGTTTTTATCTAGACTTTTTGTGTTATTCCTTTCTGTGTCATCTCAATGTAGATTTTCTGGAATGCATTTTCTCAGTTTTCAGTATTTGGTTTTGTTGAAGGCTGTGGATTTCTTGTGGTTTTAGATGTTGTAATTATTTTGTGGCACGCTTATATCTTCTTGGTTGCCTCTAGGTCTGTATGTGACTATGGTTGCTGTCAGTCTGCATACGACATCCAAGCAACCATCCATGACATATAGAAGCAAAAGTTTCAGCATCCATACACACTGAAGAGTAATAGACATATGGTGATATACAAATGAAACTACACATAGCAGCAACATTCCAGAATGTAATTTATGGCAAAATTTTAGACAAACAACACATACACTCAACTCTCGATTATCCAGGTGCGAATAAACCGGTTTGTGGCTTAACAGGGCCTTTTTGAGGCTTATATGTTGTTTAATATTCATTCACTTTTGTTTCACATGGTGAGTTGTAACACTATTTTTGCACTAGTGTGAACCAAGCTCTGCATTTTTGGTCCCATTATGCTAACACAATGTTCAAGGGTAGGGGTGAAAGAATGCAAGGATTTGTGGAAAGTTTCAAGAACAGATACACCTCCCCAGTTAGTCTCTTTGTATTGATCTTCAAGTGTGTTAGCAAAATGTCCGGCTGTAAAAGGAAGCATGTCGTGTTAAGTATTCTACAGAAACTTGAAATTATCAATCAGTTGAGAAAAAGAGGTGTAGTTAAACAATTAGCAATGCAATACAGTATTGGAGAATAAACTGTTCATGATTTGAAAAAACAAAAGAAGCAATTAATTTCCTTTGCTTCGTCTTCTAATTCAAGCGGAATGAAGAAGAGAAAAACCGTGAAAAAATCAACATATGATGATCTTGACAAAGCAATGCTGATCTCTGCGGCTTTCAGGGATGTGTGAGAGGGTGCATTTTCGCAATGAAGGAGCCAGTTGTGGTTGCACCAAAGTTGTTGTCTTTTTTGATGCACATTTTCTCTCAATTGCCTGAAAAAATCACAGTAAAAGTCAGAGTTGATCGTGGTGTTAGGAGGAACAGATTCATGGTGAACAATCCCATTCATGTCAAAAAAGAAAAAAAAAAANGAACTCTGGACCTGCCAAGACTTCTTTGCTCTTGGTGACTTTGCAATGATTGTTGCTTTGTGGATCATAACTGTAAATTCAACTTTCATCGCCTGTTATGATCCTAGAGGTAAAAGTTGGGTCCTCATTAGCCTTCTCACATGGCTCAAGACACTTTTATGCGCCACTGCTTTTGATCATTTGTCAAAAGTAGGGGAACAGACTTTGTGACAGTGCGGCATATGTTCAAATTTTCTGTTAAGTTCTCCTGGCAAACTCCATAACTGTACCCAACGGTGTCTGCAAGCTCATGGATTGTTTGGTGACGGTCTTTATGGATGAGTTCTCAAAGTTTTCCTACATTTTCCATCGTTTTGCTGGTGGTTGGCCACCCTGAACTTTTTTCATCTTCAACTGACACTTGTTCAACCTAGAAACTGCTGTTCAGCTTAAAGAATGTACTCCTAAAGGTATCACAAAGCATTTCAATGGTTTCAGTAGCTGATTTACCAAGCTTCACAAAATACTTGATGCAGACATGTTACTCAATTTTGCCAAAGTGAAACATGAAGTAAAAAAAGCACTCATGTAAAAACATTTCATGTTCACAGCATGGTGCCACGTAGCAAACTGATGCAATAGGCTTGCAGAAGTGTGACCTTGGCCTCCCCTCTCATCTTCTTTCACCGAGGCAGTTACAACAGTAACAGTCCAGGAACTTTCCAATACCCCTCTATAAGATTGTAAAGCCATTTTCTGAAAATGAGTGAATCATCTGACACACAAGTAGATCTCCCACTGTGGACATTAAGCCACAGATGAAAATATTTATGGAAAATCATATGGATATTAGTTGTTGAAAGCTTAAAATAAATTCTGACTTAGAAAATTTTAGATTAACACCGTGTGTTTTTAATGTTGTACTTGTGCATCCTGTTACCCTAGTATTATTTTCTTTTGTAGATACATGTAACCATCATCCTAAATGCAACACTTAACATAAACAGCATTTAAAAAAGAGGATCACCTAGGGTGCCCATTTAAATACTCAGGTCAAATGGAAAGAACATTCAACACTAGATATATATGGGGCCACGCCATAGCTCAAGTGGTTAGTCATTGGGTTCCCACCACGGCGGCCCGGGTTCTATCCCGGGTCTGGTCAAGTGGGATTCGTGGTGGACAAAGTGGCGCTGGGGCGGGTTTTCTCCAAGTACTTCGGTTTCCCCTGCCAATCTTCATTCCATCAATTGCTCCACAATCACCCTCACCTATCATCTGGGGCTGGTACAATAGGCCAGAAGTGGCCGCAGTGCAAGGGACTTAGTCCCACCCCACTAGCATTAAAAAAATAAAGAAAGATAATTTGCTCATGGACGAAATCCACATACACACACACATACATACATAATTAACACAGTACAACTATTACATATTACAGAAAACAATCTAATACTGTGTGGCTGAAAAAGCAATTTTGTGAATTTTGAAGATATTAAAATTGAAAATAAGAGATTCACATACAGCATACTGCTATTAAGATGACAGCGCAAATATTTTAACAAGAATGTATGCACCTGATTGTGACTGAGTGAGGTCAAAACATGTTGTAATAAGATATATGAAAGATGTACATAAGTACTACATTTAAGACAATGGTTACACATATGTACAAAAAGCTTGATGTACTGATTGAACTCATTTTAGCTGCAATATTTCCTTGTTTTAAGGAACATGGGCATGGGGACTACTTCTTACTGGAGCATTACATTCCTGAAAGCCTAATTATCCAACATGAAGATGAACAGACTCTGAGGAAACAAATGCAGTTGCTACACAAAGAGAGGCAGAGTTTGGATCCTGGAAGAGCAGAAGAGATTTACATTACTCTAGTTCAAATGTTGAAGGGATATGGTTGTCATTTCTACAATGCAGTCTGGGTGAGACCATTGTTCAAAGTTCACATTCCTTTTGTATAACACTGTAGTTTACATCATTGTAGTTCAAATGATGATGCAATGCAGAAAATGTTGCTCTGACGAGGAAACTGTGCAACATGTGATGTGTGTCAGGTTGAGATATTTTAGCATCAATTCAATACAAAACCAGGTATGACAGTCCAGTGGAACAGATACAGGAATTCTTGCTGAAAATAACTTAATATGAATTTCAGTCCCATACCTATACCAGAAATTACTACAAAAGATGAGAGACACAATTTTTCTGGGGCTGAACTCTAATGCTCATAAGAAAATACAGCACATTTGATCTGATATTATATTGTGGGATTGTCAATGTTCTAAAAGACAACCACGTAAAACTGTAACAATTGTATATATTAAATTTAAATTAAATGTACAGAATAGCTGCGAAGCTATGTGGAATGTCAATGTTCAAAAGTTGGCTGGCCCTGAAAATGGCAGTTTGTTCTGCCATGAGTGCGCTGGCAGAATTTGCTCCTTTGTAGTAGACCAAGTTTTATGGCCGTTCAGCTGGTTTGTCCAGCCGGTGATGTGGTGCTGGATGCCCCGGTAGGAACAGCTGCCTATGGTGCTGGCTGGAGAGTTGTGGCAGCTACGTTAGCTGTCTCGTAGCAGAGCGTGGTTGCTGGAGAGTTGCGGCAACTATGTTAGCTGCCTAGTCGTAGAGCGTGGTTGCTGGAGAGTTGCGGCAGCAGTCTGTGGCGCAGAGAAGAGCTGATGACTCTGATGACTGATTGTTCTGAACTGAATGTGATCACTGATGATTGCGAGCTTTGGGCTCCGCCTTTTATACCATGCTTGCTAGGCAGAGCTTAAAGTTGCAGTTGCGATTGTGAATGCCGATTGGCTAGCGCACACTATGATATAAAGATGTGCTGGACAGTGAGTGCTCTATAAATACGAGCGTTGGCAGCAATGTGATATTGACTATGAGTTGAGTGCTGTCTGTTAGACCAGCGAAACCGCGTATTAGTATGTGGGATGTTCCCACACCACTCCCCCCTCACGAAAATTGATGCTCATATGTTCAGGCAAGCGGGGAAATGGACGTGGCGCCAGGAGCATGTAGTCCTTGTATGGAACTGTGTTGGCATGGCAGGCAGTCCTACGGTCGGGGTCGCTGCAGCTGGTGGGTTGGTGCTCTTCCGCTGTAGTGGGGTTCCAATGCCCGGCGTGTTGAGTCCTGCCGAAGGAAGACGTGGGTACACTTCTCAAGGTCACTGTGCACGAAAGTAGCTGGGGAGGCATGGCGTGCTGCTGGGACTGGTCAGAGGCGGGCTATGTATTGGCGGAGCTCTGCGATGAGGTGTGCTGTATCTGCAGGGTTGGTAGCTGGAGTTAGTAGCTTTCTGGGGATTCTTAAGAGCTCACCTTACACGAGCTCAGCTACCGATGCTTGCAGGTCCTCCTTGAATGCTGTGTGGATTCCGAAGAGAACCAGGGAAGCGCCTTAGTCCACTGTTGGTCCGCATGGCACATGACAGCTGCCTTCAGTGTCTGGTGGAAGCGTTCCATGAGTCCGTTAGCTGCTGGGTGGTGGCAGTTGTATGTGAAAGCCGGATGCTGCACAGCCTGGCCAGGGATTGGAAGAGTTGAGATTCGAACTTGTGTCCCTGGCCAGTGGTGATGGTCTGCAGGCAACCGAAACGTGATATCCAACCAGTCAGTAGGGCACGTGCCACTGTGTTGGCTGTGATGTCCGGAATGGGGATGACTTCTGGCCAGCAGGTGAAATTGTCGACTGCAGTGAGGCAGTATGTGTAGCCCGCTGATGTCAGGTGGGGTCCCACAAGGTCGATATGGACGTGCAGAAAACAGGCTGCCGGCAGTGTAAAGTCACCCAGTGGGGTAACTGTGTGACAGGAGACTTTGGAGTGCTGGCAGGACTGGCAAGCACGTGCCCAGGTGTGGCAATCCTTCTGCACACCTGGCCACAAGAATCACTGTGCGGCCAGCTTCGCTGTTGCTCTGGTGCCTGGGTGCAACAGATCGTGGAGGGACTGGAACACTTGGAGACATAGAGGCGCCGGAACGTACGGCCGAGATCTCCCAGTAGACTTGTTGCAGTAGATGGAGACTGTGGTACTGGGGATTGGTACTTTCTCAAGCCACAGGGTGGTGGTTGACCCCAGGAGTGCTCAGAGTTCGTCATCACTGTCCTGTGATGCGGCAAGCGCGTCATAAGGTGGCGGCACGGTGACGGACTCGACACGAGAGAGGGCGTCAGCGACAATATTGTCCTGTCCAGAGATATGTCGGATGTCGGTTGTGAACTGGGAGACCACTGATGATTGCGAGCTTTGGGCTCCGCCTTTTATACCATGCCTGCTAGGCAGAGCTTAAACTTGCAGTTGTGATTGTGAGTGCTGATTGGCTAGCATGCTCTATGATGTAAAGGTGGGCTGGACAGCGAATGCTGTATAAATACGAGCTTTGGCAGCAATGTGATATTGACTAGAAGTTGAGTGCTCTCTGTTAGACCAGCAAAACCGCATGTTAGTATGTGGGATGTTCCCACAATATTGTTTGACAGCAGCAAAAAAATTTCATACCAACCCTTAACTGACATAGCCGCCCCTAATATGTTGCAGTGGTTTATAACCATTAAACTCAGTATGGTTGACAAACAAAGATACAGCTCTGTTTGATGCAGCAACATTTTATTTTTCAGGTGGCAAAAGATGGAAATAACCATGAAGTGCTGCTTGAGATTGATGCCCGGGGTTTGACACTGCATAAAACTCATGGGAATGAGAGACATCTGCATGAATTTTTTGCATGGAAAAGAATCCAGCTACTTTCATATAGCAAACAATACCTCTTCCTCATGCCTCAATATGACAATAAGGGAAATATTAAGCCCACTAAGTACAAACTGCAAATGGACCACAAAAAGTGAGTAATTTTTTTTGCAATGGCTGGATTTAGGTAATCAGTATAATACAATAACCTAATAGGTGATTTCTAAAGAAGCTCAATCTATAGGCTGGGTGTCTAATGTTTCCTCTGTGACAGCAAAATTTGGAAGTTTTTCACTTGTTTATCATATTCAAAACAACTCTGGTATTATGTAAGTTTTGAGGTTTTCACGGCGATGACAATGAAGAAAGTTGTCTTCTGGGTTTAGGCTACTGCTACTGCTCTCCGCAGCTATTCAACTGCTCTGAAGATGGAGGCGCTACGTTCCTCCGAAACGTCGGCCAAAACGAAGAATACACGGTGCCTAAACCCAGAAGACAACTTTCTTCAACTCTGGTATTAGTCTCATATTTTGGCTTAACCTTAAAATTAGACCTTCCATACTAAAAAATTATGAAACCTATCAATAGTTATGAAATGTGATTAATGCTTCTTTAATATTTATATAATTTTCTTTCTTCCAGGAGTTCTTTTGTGTTTCATCTTGCTTCTTTTCATCACCAGATTTCTATGAAACTCAGGTCTAATATGAGCTCATTGCAGTCACTCACAGCAGGTATGCTTTAAATGTTGCTTCATAACACCAGTATTATGATGAGCATTCCTTCTGCCCTTGAAGGAAGTTCAAAACCTTATATGCTAAATGAATTTAATATACTAAAGAGGCTAGCAATGTTAATTGAAATTTATTCAAATGAAACATATGGTAAATGTATTTCTCTACATAAGTGCCAAGCATTAGCAAATCAGAATTCTCTTAAATAACCAAACAATTTATGGACGTTACTTTTTTTGCTTTAAAGCATGCCATAAAATATCCAATGGAATCAGAAGGGGGTGAAACAACTAGTGTTTGCCCCTATTAATGTCATATTACTTCGAATATAAGACACTTTTGAATTTAAGATGCATCCAATTTTTTAATGTGGGTTTTAGGGAAAAATGAGAAAGATGCACATTCTTTGAATTTAAGACACACCTCAGATTTTCGATGGGAAAAATGTGTAATATGTGCGTCTTTTATTCGAAGTAATATGGTATGTTATACTTTATATAGCTTGTTTCACAACCAGTCTGCTGTACTTTGGAAGATAATGTTGAACAAAATATGTTAATACAACACTGGTTCTATTTCCAACCATTCAGAAGCTACAGATGTTATAGGGGTGCACAAGATAAATAAATAAATAATAATCAGGTGAATTTATTGGTACATTTTATGAGATACCCAATAAATTAGCTGTTCAATGTGTCTACCATATTTTTCAAAGCACAGACTTACTTGGTTCAGACAAGGGTTACTACTCAATACATCATTTTGGGGTGTTCTTGTATATAAGCAGCAGTATTCATAATCTGTCTGAAAAGTTCCATCCTTTTCTGTACTTTGGTCTTTAGACCATCTCCTTCATAAGACCACAAAAGAAGAATCAAGCAGGGTTATGTCTGGGGATCTCAGAGGTCAGTGTATTGCATCAGCATGACTAATCCACTGATTCTCATCATGCTGAAAGAATATCTTGGCGTTTTATCCAGAGGCCTGTTCTCCATTAAAAGCAGAAATGTAGTCTTTAGTAAGTACACATAATTAGCAGGAGCAAAATGTTCCAAAACAGGTGATCCAGTCAACAAATCTCCAGTGAGACCACAACAAATATTCACTGAGAATCGAAATTGGAAAGTGCTTAACAGTGGTTCTGTGGGGGTTATCAGCAGACCAAAAGTGGAAATTTTGGCTACTGTTAATTCCATTCCAGTTGAATTCTGGTTCACCATCGAAGAGTGTGTGATGCTCAATCTGGTGATGTAGTAGAATCCGCGGGCATAATTGAACATTATGATTGAAGCCACCCAGCTGAAGAGCCTACACATGCTGCAGATGATAAGGATTCAAACCTTCATCATGTATGATTTTCCATACAATGGGGTACCTAAAAGAAATCAAACTAATTTTTTTGTGGGCAGAGCTTTTGTAGTACCACGTTTTGCCACTACGAGCACATAGAGCTAACATTCCTGAGTCGATAAGCCGACTACCGTTGCTTCAGAAGGTAAGGACTAGTTTCGGCAGAGTTTATAATGACAACTGTTTTGTCTGATCGTTGGTTTTGCAATGACTGATTTTCGTGAACAGCGTGCGGCGGTGAAATTCTGCTTTTTGCTCGGGAAAAGTGGAACAGAAACTCTTGAAATGTTAAAAATGGCGTACAAGGACGTTGCTATGGGGAAAACTTAAGTGTTTGAGTGGTTTTCCCGTTTCAAAAATGGTGAAATGTCAATTGATGACAAACCTCGTTCTGGTCGTCCTTCCACGGCCCCAACACATGAAATGTTGAAAAAATTCGTGAAATCATCAAGGAAGATCGACAATGGACCATTGAAGAAATTGTGGAGCTGTCGGGAGTGACTTGGAGCTCAGTTCAGTGAATTTTGACAGAAGATTTGGGGATGAAAAGGGTGGCTGCGAAATTCGTGCCACGACTGCTGACTGCTAAACAGAAACAAGGTCGCGTGGAAGCATGCTGTGCTTTGAAAGAAGAGTCCCGAAATGATCAAAACTTTTTTTGTTTCCTCAAATAAAAAGAGACATGAAAGGAAAGCGTTTTGCTGATGTTGCTGAGGTGAAGGAAAAAACGACGGAGGCACCGTCAAGCATCTCAAAAGATGAATTTAGACAATGTTTTGAAAAATGGAATAAAAGACTAGACAAGTTTATTAGTGTAAGTGGAGAGTACTTTGAATGGGATTGAAGGTTTGTGCTTAAAATTTGAATAAATAGGTTTAAAAAAAATAAGTTCGGTTTCTTTTGAGTACCCCCTCGTACCTATGATGCAAATTCACTGAGCCTCCTGGAATTTTTTCCATAAACACACTGATCATTGGACTGTATTGTACTAGGTCCAGTAAGCGCTCTTCTGCAACAGTGGGCTGCTATGTTACGTGTTCTGGGTTACATGGAACTACTCTCCCTGTTTCTTATTATCTCTGGTGTGTACCACTAGACACTTGCCTGTTCAGAATTTTAAGGTTTTGGAAATATCTACAGCATCTATCTGCTGCTGCCCAGCTGTTACAATCACAAAATACATAAATATAGTGGATACCACTGGTAGTAACCCATCTATTCATTTCGCCAAAACATGCATGAAGGCAATACATTTCTTACCTTATCACAGTGCTATGTGTTTGACTGTTAGCATGAATAAGAAGCAAGTGAAGCAAGGCATAACAGAATCAGTAGTGTCTACTATTCACATGAAACAAATACCTGTATTACCAGCTATCAAAGTTCATAGAAATAGGCATTTGCTGTTTGCACATCTTAAAACATCTGTAGCTTCTCAGCGGTTGGATGTAAAACCAAAGTTGTATTGTGATATCACACCTATGAGTCAGAACTGTAGAACAAGAAAAGTGTCACAGAGGGGTCCAGTGGTGCACGGCAACTTGTTAAAACACATTTCTGCAACAACAAACACACAACAATCGGCTCACATCAGATCTATAGCTCTGACATGGAAGACCAGCAAGACTCAAAATGGATGGAAGTGAGAGAAAAATATGGTCATGGGTTCCACAGGGCCTAAACTGAGAATGACTATGCAGCAATTTACCTGGCTGACCAAAGTGGGAGCCACTGAGAACAGGAACTGTTAGGGTGAGTCTTGGTTATTGGAGGCTGTTACTAAATAATGAGTTCATGAAGATACAGCAGACTGGAGATAAGTGATGTAGTTATTTCAAGATTTCAAAGAATAACAGAAATGTTGTAATTTTTTGTAGTTGAGAGTAATAAGCATCCAGTAAATTATGTTATCAGTCTAAACCCTGTGCCTATTCACTAACACATGACAGTGTTAATGTGTTTTGTTCAACATTATAACCTGAATCACCTCCCAAAATGTGGTGGACCAGTTTTGAAACACTCTTTATGTAGCATAGAAGTCTTCTTCTTAAAAAAATTTTAACCCCTGTAAGGTGAATTCAAGTAGCTGCTTTTTCATGTAGAAGTTCATAAGGAAGTGTAATATGCTTTACATTTTAAGTATGAAAGCATGGAGTCCTCTGTAATAAGATGCATGACTTACAGAATGAAGAGACAAAATGCTCTTGCAACACCCACCTCCAAGATAATTTGTATATAATCGTGGACCCCAGCAATTAACTATATGATGCATGTGTTTCTATAGTATCTTAGCTTGGTCATGGGTTTCACAAAATATTTTAGTTAGCATGTGATTTCTGTTCCTGTCAGCTTCCAGTATTTATTATGATGTATGAAAAATTTAACTTTTTACAGGTTACTGCTCTGAAATAGTGGAACTCAGTAGGTTCTGTGAAGTTCAAATATCTCTGTTCCAATGGACAACTGATTAATCTGATCGAATTAGTTATTGGTTACATTTATATTCGGTATTTGTATTTTCTTGCTTATATACAGAGTGTCCCAGGAGGAATGTGCCAAACTTCGGGAGGGTGTTCCTTATGTTAAAGTATGCCGATATAACCCAAAACACCTATGTCCAAAGTTGAATGGTTACAGAGATAATGGCCAGAGAAATGTGAAACTTTGACCGGTGTTACACACTTGTTGCTTACAAAATACTTATTAAAACTAGCAGGAATATGTGGTTTCTGTAATGTTAATAATGTACATAACATCAAACTAACTTGTGAGTGACATGAAGCTGTAAAATTAAAGTACAAAATACTCGCTCGCCATGTCATAATTGTCCTTAGGTTTCCAAGCACTATACATGACACATGACTGGCAAGCGCTGACGTAACATGGCTGACCGAGCATTCTGGTATAAGCCGACTACATAACTGTATTAAACATACATTCACGGAAAATCTCTTTTGGAATTTCGTTTCCATTATCTCATGTGGATTATTATGGGACCACGTATGCACATTTCGTAAATTATTTACACCGTACCGGGTAAAAGACGCCTCATCACTGAATAAAATGACGCTTAACAGTTCGGGATAGCTTTTATCCAGTGGCACAAATCCATACGCTGTGCATGGTCGCCTGGTTCCAGATGTTGTACCCTTTGATCGTGGTAAGGCTACAGCTCTTCATCATGTAAAGTTCTCCACACCTGCATACGTGATACACCGATGCGAGAGGTCATTCTACGAGTGGACAGACGCAGACTTCTCTGAACCATCTCAAGAATGTTCTCTCATGTGTTTATCATTCGTACATCCTCCCTTTCAGAGTGCACAGAAACACTCGGAAGAAAACCAGTATCATGCAATGTCTGGTGAATTCGCGTAAATACACTTCGAGATGGAATCCTTTGATTGGGAAAACGCCTTTGGTATTCATCAACGGCAGCACATGCATTGCCACCGCAAAATCAACACACAAAATGCATATCACAATATTCCACGTGTGAAAACACAAAAGGCATTTCAGCAACTCCGCACAACTAATTACCAACCATTCGCGACACGGCCGCAACGTACTCTGTACGTAGCACATGAGCTTACGGCTAGTGTGAATCACCACACTCAAGGACAAACATAGATAAGACGTCTCAGCCGACAGGTACAGTGCGTGGACCCGCCAGAAGACCACACTTTTCTCAGGCCATTATCTCCGGCATACTTTAACATAAGGAACGCCCTCCCGAAGTTTGGCACATTCCTCCTGGGACACTCTGTATAATAATTCCCTTTCCCACATATTGATTTTTTGTTTTAGAATTTGGAGTGTCCATCAAACATCATCTTGCCAGGGAAACTAAGTTGTATCATGTTGAGAATAATGAAAACAGTGAACCATATAGACAGCAGCATTCATTCCTTATTCCTGCAGTTACCCTTGGTAGTTACACTAAGCACACTCTTAAAGCTGTTGGTCATAATGATGTCGTAAGGCAAACTGAAGTGAATGCGGATATTGCTAATGTACGGCAACTGAAGGAATGTCATGAAATTTCACAGCAGTTGAAGCAAACTGATGTTGAAGAACATCAAAATAAGGAAAATGAAAAGCCTGCAGCACCTATGAAACAGGATGCAAGCAGTTGTAATTTTTATACATTAACTGTCAGAAATGAGCAGAGAAAAGCTGTGAGCCTAGACAATGGAGCAGAAGTTCCTAATCATGTATCTTCCACATTATTGAGGAATACAATGAATGATCTCAAAGGTGCAAGTTTTCCACAGCAAATCAGAGTGCGGATGGGTACCAAGTCCTTGATTGATGTTGCCAAGGAGCATCATTCGTCATATCAAAAAAATTGTGTTATAGCATCCATTCCAATATTAGACACTTCTAAACAGTCATCTGTTCAAGATGCATATGTCCTTAGTAAGTAGAATTTTATTTTCACTGTGAATATAATTTAATTTTTCCTGCAATAATTTGAAGCTTTCTAGTAATCAATTACTCTTCAAATCACTGGGCTAAATGAGAAGACAGCAGTTGGGTTGCATTGATTGTATGCAGCTCCTTACACTGGTATACCAGAGCTGATAGCTCCCTAGGGAGAGATTCTTCACAGTCCCACTAGCAGGTATTTCACAGCTGGTGAGTCCCTTCCCTTAGTTAACCCCTCAACATCCAGCAGGTAGGAAGACATTGCCAGCTGTGTGGTGGTATGCCAGAGCTGCTAGCTCCCTATTGAGGAGTATCATCATTTCCTTCATGCAAGTATCTTCTTATCAGAGAGTTCGTAGTGGCTGCTTTTATATTTATGACTAACTGTTGCTTTTTGTATCTAATCTAATCCCATGAGTAATGGGGATCTAAATGTCAACACCCATAGAGCATCATATTGGCAGAAGACATAAATTCAATAAGATGTTGTCTTGTGGCTCCCAGCCCTTAGCATAATGCCTCACACCTTGGCTTTGGTGCACCATATCACTATTAGTTTTCCTTAAAGAGAATACCCACCTCAGCAACATAGACTCCAATATAAAGTCACCAAACTATGTATGTTTCTTAAACCTGAGATTCAGTATTACAATACACCTTCAAGCTGTCTCTGCCTGCATGTCAGTGGTTCCATTATGAAGTGGGTTGTTCTGGCATTGGGCAATGATCACATGGATTTCCCTTGCCCTCCTTAGCCATATAATCATTCTTATTTATTGAAACATTTATGAAATAATTTTAAATGCATACTATCTGCTAATAATGATATAAAACTTGTTGATTTATATCTACTTTAGTTGGTATCCTCTGATTAGTAGTGGTATAATTTATATTTACGAGATTAATCACCCATTTTGTAGGTTCATTTTGTGGAAGATCATAATTAAGTATTAGCCTGCTTGAATGATACAAAGAAATATCCAATTTATAACATTAAATATGGTACTGCACTAACTTTTCACTCCAGTACTTAGGTTAGGTTAGGTTAGTAGGGCATCTTATCTCTTTTTCATTTTCTATACACAACGTTTGTTTAAGATATAGACATTAAAATACTGAAGCTGTCACTCTTGTTACTTGTGCTTGTCATTCAACAGTCAGTTTAAGAAAATTCATGAAGACAGTTAAGTCACAAAATGCATACAAATACAGTATTTTATTTTGAACCAAGTCCTTTTGTTTGATTTTTTTGTTTTGGTTTTTGTTTATTTGTTTAAAGTTGTTAAGTTAGAACTGGAAGGTTAAAGTGGAGTATGAAGTATGTGTTTAGGCAGTATCTGAAATATGAACATTTATGGTGTGCACTTACTCTGCTTACTGCATACTTTTTTCCCTTCAGCAGTCAGTGCTAGCTAAGAAGCTGATCAGCATCCTCTTATAGAACCAATGCATTTCCATACCTATTGAACTGTAATGATATCTCTACTGTGTCTTCCAGATTCAAGCATAAAATCAGCTGAAGAGAAATTTGAAGTTGACTTTCAAGAAACACTAAGTGAATCGTTACTGGAAAAGTTTGACACATTGTCTTACAAAGAAGAAAGAATCCTGAGGATTGTGAAGTAAGCATAATTACTTCTACTTCTGATGTTAGTTTTATAAAACAGTGGATTTTGGGCAGAAGTTCCTATATTATAAAGTGAAACATCTACTAAAAAAAATATTGTGCAGAATACAAACAAGAATTGTAACCCTGTGACTGGTCCCGTGTTGTAGATTTACGGCACGTAAAAGATCCTCATGTCTCTAGGAGACCTCTGAGCAAAATTAGGCAACAAGTAGTTTCCAATGCCTCTGGTAGATGGGTGAAATATCAGGTACCAACGACTGACCTCGTTGGCTGAACGGGGCTGATAGCACGCACCAGTACCGGTAGGGTATGGCGACAGTAGAAATTGAAGGGGGATGCACAATGGACCAATAACTGGTCTAAGTGCATGGGGAAACCCACCCCCTCTAATAATAATAATAATATAATAATAAATAAACCCTTTGACTGCACAGAATTTTGCAAATGCATCATTTGTCATAGAATCTTGATGTTCATATATTGCATGAACAGATCAAATCAGTGATAGAGATATTACACTGAATGGATTCTGTTTCTTTATAGTTTATTAAATATACATTATATCAAAACATTCAAAATATGTAGATCATAATGAGCTCTATTTTTACCTCCTGGAAGAAGAAACACTTAGATGAATAATGTCATGATACATGCTCTGCTTTAAAGATCTTATAGATGCTCAGCTGGTCAAAAAATTCTGTGTTTTATGAAGTTCAAACAGTCTTTCATGTGAACCTTTCTTTTCCACTTCATATTCCAAGTTCAGGGCCCTTTGTTACAATTCACAATATACTAGTCTTGTCGATTAAAACTCTTTGTGCTGTGACACATAACAGGAACATTTTTCCATGAGCCAGGATAATTTAGTCAGTTATAGTGGCTGGCTACAGGCTGGACAGCTGAGGGGTCAGATTGATTTCTGGTAGGATCAAGAATTTTCTCTTCTCCACATCTTCCAGACCAGCTCTGGGATCCACCTAATCTCCTATCCAATCAGTACTGGGGGCTCAATCCCTGGGGGTAAAATAACCGAGGTGTGAAGTTGAGCACTCACCTCCAGCTAGTGCCAAGGTCAAGAAAATGTGGATCTATACATCCACTCCTCCATATGCCTTCACGGCATAGTGCTTAATAAGTTAATCACAAGAACAACTTTTTTTACCTTATAAATTGCTATATATATTTATATGCCTTCGTGCTTCAGACAAGTCATAACAGAGGGATTGCAGTTTATGGAAAAAATCCATTATGTAATGTCTGCAACAAGTCAATTAAAACCAGTACTTAAAAGGATGATGATGATTGTTATGACACAGGGATCTTATACATTATTTCTGGCATCTGTTTTTAATGTTTAATGATTTTTCAGATTTAGAAAGAAGGTGTGTAATGGAATTTATGTTGGTAGTTACTGTAGGATTCTGACGATGGTGTATAACACACTGATATGTTGGGATTTTGGACTTTATCCATCGTCCTGGTTTTTAAGATAACAAATAAAAACACGACGTTTCGGAAACTGGATCTGTTTCCGTCCTCAGGTGAAGGAAAACACCTATTCAGTTGGGTCNAATGGGAAAAGACAAAGGGTGCTTCTATGTATCTTGGATATCTGTGCTCTGCTCTCTTATCAAGTTCCATTCTATTTAAGTGCTGTACCTCTTCATCAAGGGAAGTTTTGCCCCATATTTATATCCAACTTCAGAGAGTCAAGAAAACCGTTTAAATAAGATCTAGAATTTCGTGATGTTAGTATATTAATACAATGATTGTCTTTCTTGACATTGTCCATTGTCCTATTTTATTTGAAACATTTTGGAAACTGGACTCTGTCTCTATCCTCAAGTAAAAAGCCTACTGAATTAGGCCTTACATTCAGAGATAGGAACTAGCTCTATCAACCGGGCCCAACTGAACAGACTTTTTATCTAATAACAGAGACAGAGCCCAGTCTCTGAAATGTCTCTTTAAACAAAAACAATTTTATGAATAATGTCCAGAAAGTCAGTAATTGTACACTTACTTAAGTTCAAAGAATTGTGTTAAAGTTGGTGATTACTTGATAGATAGGGAGTCTTGGAAGCAAAGGATCTTTCTGCAACAGATGAGACATCTGCAGGAGAATGTAGAGTACATCTTTCTACAGTAAAGAATAATATTGAGGAAAATGAATATCAAATATTGAAATGCAAAATTTCCTAAATATGCAGGTATTACTATTGTGCCATGTCCTCATTATTTTGTTGCTTATAATAGTGTCCTTTTTTATATTTATTATATAGAATAAGAAGAGATGAAAGTGGTAATTTAGGAATTCAGATCAAAGCTGGCTCAGATGGAGGCTTGTATGTTCAGTCTGTTGTGCCACATGGCCCAGCTGCTGCTTTGGGGACTGTCCACAAAGGTGAGGTACTACTCTGCTATGAGATGCTATCGGAAAGTTCCCAGACTGTTACTGTTGTAACTGCCTCGGTGAAAGAAGATGAGAGGGGAGGCCAAGATCGCACTTCTGCAAGCCTATTGCATCAGTCTGCCATGTGACACTGTACTGTGAATACACACTGTTTTTATACAAGTGCTTTTTCTACTTCATGTTTTGTTTTGTCTGTGATTAATGGCACAGTTGAGCAATGTGTCTGCTTCAAGTTTTGTGTGAAGATCAGTAAATCACTACCAAAACCCTTGAAATGCTTCGTGAGGCTTTTGGAGAAAATTCTTTGAGCCAGACAGCAGTTTTTGAAAGGCATTCATGTTTCAAGGTGAGTCGAGTTTCAATTGAAGATGGCGAATGTTCAGGACGACACAGCACCAGAAAGACAACAGAAAATGTTGAAAAAAATTTGAGAAATTGTCCACTAAGACTGTCTCCAAACAATCCATGGGCTCGCAGACACTATGGGGATCAGTTATGGAATTTTCCAGGAGATCGTAACAGAAAATTTGAACATGCATCGCATTGCTCCTTCCTCATGACAATGCACCTGCCCACACGTCCCTGAAAACCACAGTGTTTGTGACTAACAACAGCATGGTTATCATTCCCCATTCTCCCTACTCACCGGACTTGGCCCCCTGTGATTCCTCTTTGTTACCCAAATTGAAAATGAAACTGAAGGGATAAAATTTTGAAACAGTGTCTGACATCCAAAGGGAATTGCAAGTGGCACTCTACAGCATTAAGAAAAATGACTCTCATGGTGCTTTTGAAGCATGGAAAAAAAGGTGGGAACACTGTGTGTTCTAAAGGATACTATTTTGAAGGAGTTGGCAGCCAAAATTGAGTAAGTTAAGTCCGCATTTCTTTTTTTGACTTAGTCCGGGAACATTCCGATAGAACCTCTTATATATACAGTAGAACTTGGTTATAACATCATCAAAGGGACCTAAAAATTGTGTTGTTATAAACGAATGTCGTTGTAACCGAAATGGGCACTTCCACGGTAGCCTTATGTTAGTCACGTAAAAATCTACCAAAAACCGATTTAAAATGTTGCATTTTTTAGTGAAATATGTAGTTAAGTACAGACTAACGTAACATTAACGTGGAATTAATATGGATTCTCCATATCGTTTGTACTGTAGAATTCACCAAACCAAATTCGCGGCATACATCAGATTTTTTCCTTCTATTTTCTATTTCATCAATCACTTTAACTTTCTCTTCAATGCTTAAAACTTTCTTTTCATTGCCATGTTTTCGCTACTGCACTTCTCTGGGTTTAGGCAGGAACACTATAGGGTAAGTAGACAATGTGAGGTCCTGTTAGACGAGATTCTAGGAAAGGAATGCAGTTAACAACCTGCCGCGTCCTCTTGCACTATTCACACAGTCCCACCCCACACCCTTGTTTTCGCATAAATCCCACGCTCCTCTTGCAGCCCGCGGTCGTATTCTTCCAGGACAGTCACGTCAGCGAGTAGAGAAAGTGAGGGTGGGCAGACACATCCAACTTTCCCATGATATCAGAGAAATTCAGGAATGAAAATGACATTACGTACGAGGTTGATGCATTTGTGCATGTCGTACTAAGCAAGATATAAAAACAGTTGCTTTATGAGGAATTAGTTCGTACCATTGAATATTTGATGCAATAGACAAGGTGTCGCAGAAACCGATGTTGCTATAACCAAGTTTTACTGTATATACACACATTCAATGAGCCACTAGTGTTTTGATTAATAAATTTCAGATTATGCCAATGTTCTCTATGTAGCAAAATTATAATAAGGCCTCCACTGAAAGACCCTTCTCCCCTCAATGGAAAATACTTATACCACCTGAACCACCTACAGAAAACCCTAAGGTGGAATGCAGACATAAATAACTGTGTTCTGTATGCTATATTTTCAAAGATTCTTCACAGTCAGGGCCCTTATATGTGGTACAGTCATTAAGTTCATGGACTGTGGTTTTCTCGCGTCATATTACAAGGTATTCACATACATTTACACAGATCCACATTGGCCCTTAAAATAGTTGCCACTGGCCGCAATGCAAATCTGCCAACGTTGATATTGCTGCCGAAAACATTGCTGAAATATATTGGCAGAAAATTCACGTACGGCATCTCTTATGGCATTGACCATCTCCTCGGATTGAAATCTATGACCACGTAGCTTTGCTTTGTGAAAGAGAAAGAAATTGCACAGTGCGAGATCAGGTGAGTACGGAGGGTGTTCCTCTTGGACAAGAACAGAGCGGTGTGCAGGGGCGTTGTCGCTTAGCAACAGTCAATTCTTCCTATGCCAAACGTTTTGCTAGGGGATTTGCCTAGTTTTTGGCAGAACTTGATGTTTGCCCATTGTTTAAACGGCCACATTTTCGATTTCCGCCACTTGCATTTAACTGCAGTTCACAATAGAGGCCATAGTTCTGCTTACACTGTGTGCACACAACTGCCTCTTACTGTGACAAGAGATGAACTGACAGGGCATCATATCGTGCCTCAACCTATCCGCTGTAGTGTACTGCAATGATACTTTGCGGCCAGTCCACGAACTTATTGACTATGGTAGTATATCCTACTTTTAATAGTGCTGATGACCTCTTCGACATTCGCAATTAAGAGATGTTTCATGTTACATCAGCAAAGAATAAATTCCAGCATTTAATCATTGATTTTCCAGGAGACCAGCTGATTGCCATGGATGGTCACAATTTGTTAAACCTGAAGTACGAAGAGGCCGTGAAACTTTTCCAGTCTAGTGGCGCGGAGGTTGAAATCCTTTTATCACAAGTCAGTACAGATAAAGGAATGTTTGAGTCACAAGAGGAACCCAGTGTTACAAAAGCAATTGAGGAAGACAATGAATTTCAGTTACCAGTTGAACATATGAAACATTCTGATCACCAGGACTCAGTGGAGAAGTCTTGTATATCTCTCATCAGACAGGATCCTGACCATGGAGGGATGAGTTTTATCCCCATGGCACAACCAGAACCAGCATGTGCAAAGTCTGTTGAGGACTGTTATCTGAATAATGTTCAGTATGCAACGGCTGTTGATGTGGTGTCTGGAGGTGGAGAGTCAGAACCAGTATCAACCTCTGTAGCAACACCATTGAAGTTAATGCAACAGCTACATATTGAGGAGCCTTCCACTAGTGTTCATGGTAGCTGTGATAGTATCAGAGCAATCTGCTGTGTGTTGCATGCAGAAGATGACAAAGTAAGTATATAGTGAAAATTTCTTCCTTCTTCAGCATCTTCATTCATGCTGATTTCACTTTCATAGCATCCCTGTCATTATCCTTCCTAAGAGTTAATCATTAAGATTCTTTTGCTTCAATTTGCTTTCCCTTCATCGCTTTATGAAGCACTGATTCCTTATTTCCTGTAGTGAACAAAATATTTCTTGATATATGACATATTTTTTGAAGTTCAAACAACAATTTTTCATACAGTTTGTGGATGTTTTGAGTTTAAACAAATATTTCATTAAAGTGGCCTCTGACTGCATAATATTCTTACTAAGTTTAATAAAAACTGACCATTTCATTCAAAAGTTGCATGTGGATAAAGATGAAGAATAAGAGTAGATAACATACATCTGGGATAGTTTTGATGTTTTGGTTATGAATTTTATTGAGGATTATTGAAACTTCTAGTGCACCTTTGAAAATTTCCTGTATGCTGAAGAGCTATGTATTTATCAGAATTCTATTTTAAACTGTTCTTTGTGTATAAGCAATTATTGATTTTACTTGCACTCTTAAGTGTTCCTGTTATACCTTGTACAGTAAACCTTAGCAGACAACCCTTGACATCCCATTTGCTGATACAAATTTAATCTCTGAAAGCTTCATATTGTAAAGAGGTGTGAAATGAAGAGTAGAATGTTGCATGTAAATAGATTTCTTAGTGTCAGAATGAAGAGGGATTGCTTGATTGCTGATGATGAGTACAGGGAAGAGGGCTTCCTCTGTTTTATCCAATTACCTTCCCCCCTCAAGTTCTGACAGTAACGGGAATCTTGTTAGCTTCAACAGAATGGATTAAGGTGACTAAATACTTCCCACACACATATATTGAGACAGGTCAACACATGTTCAGTGTTGCAGGGTTTCTCTGTGTCTTCTCATATTCCAGGGATAGGTCCACTGTTTGTTGTGTGAAAACTTTTACCTGTGAATCTTTGACCTTACAGTGTTACTGTGATATTAGCACACATATAACATGGAAATTATAAGTGGTGAGAGTTAATTTTCATTTAGTAGTTTTGTGATATGCATTTTATGGTGATGGATTTTAAAATACAGCATCACTATCAGAAATCATAATTATGTAGAAATCATTAATAATAATGTGTGAACTGGATTGAACTGGCTAAGGGTGGAATCCAACTTCAAGCTTCTGTACTGATTCAGAGGCCACGCCATAGCTCAAGCAGTTAGTCGTTGGCTTCCCACCACGGCAGGTGGGTCCCGATCCCGGGTCTGGTCAAGTGGGATTTGTGGTGGACAAAGTGGTGCTGGGGTGGGTTTTCTCTGAGTACTTCGGTTTCCCCTGCCAATCTTCATTCCACCAAATTCTCCATCATCATAATCACAGGGGGCAAGCTAAAATAGGCCAATCAGTGACCGCCGTGCTGAGTGGACCCAGTTAGACTCAACCACCCACTAAGTGAATTTAAAAAGAAAATCTGTATTGATCCTTCTTTTCCATAAGAAGGAAACTTCTTTACTGCCTGCGCCATGACACTTTATTTTGTGTTAAATTTTACAAAAAAGTATTGTCTCTGAGTTTGTAATGCTTTGTTTTCCTGTCTAGTAACAAGAAAGCCGAACATTAATATACACAGACCTGTAATTTTACCTGGTGATTTACATTAGTATCGAACTCAGGAAATGAAGAACACATTTGAATAGGATTCATTTTCCTCATTTATTGTTATATGAAATAAGTATAGGATACTATCAAAGTGTATTGCTTTTGTTTCATTTTTGTGAGTCACATGCTTCTAATTCTCCAACAGGTTTCAATCCTTGTTAGACAATCTTCATGCGGTTTTTACAGAGATTAGAAGGAAATGTATTTGGAATGAATCAATCATAATTACTTTATCCTCGTCTTCAAATAAATACGTAGGTCGTACCAAAAGTCATGAGCAACTTTTTTTCATGCAACCGGGGAACAGCAGACGAAAGAGAGTGTGGTGGTAGTTGGAACCAGCTGTTGTGTTAACCTTGAGTGTCTTGTGACGTCAGTAGCTTGCGTCACGTGTCCAGTATCACTCCTAACAAAATGGCCGACAACGATATGTCATTTCGCCAGCATGCTGTCATCGAATTTCTTGTGAAAGAGGAAATCCCTGTTGCAGAAATTCACCAGAGACTTCAGCATGCTTATGGAAGTGTGTGCATGTGTGCGAGCAGTGTTTGAAGATGGGTGAAACATTTTAAAGATGGGAACACCAGCATCGAAGATAAGCCTTGGAGCGGTCGTCCTCGAACAGCCTCAACTGAACACAACAAGGAAAGAGTGGATGAAATCAGTCAAGATGACAGGCATGTGACTGTGGACAGAATAGCCCGAAAACTTGGAATAGGGCACAGTGCAATACAGGAGATGATTGCAAGCTTGGGCTATAGGAAAGTTTGTGCTCGTTGGGTCCCGCGGTTATTGACCAAAGACCACAAAGGTCAGCCATCACCTCAGAACTGCTGCAGAGATATCGATGATTTTTTGCTCTGTATTGTGACATATGACGGAAGCTGGTTTCACAATTTCGAGCCTGAAACAAAACGGCAGAGTATGGAATGGCACCATTTGCACTCTCCATCAAAAAAGAAGGCAAAGACAGTGCCATCAGCTGGGAAGGTGATGGGCACAGTCTTTTGGGATGCAGAGGGGTTTATTCTGGCCAAATTCCTGGAACCTGGGCAAACCATCAATGCTGCTTGTTATGTCCAGACGCTGCACAAGCTCCATCGTGCATTGCGCAATAAACGTCCAAGATGAAACATCATCATCCTGCATGACAATGCTCACTCCTGCGCCACTCGCCTCACATCAGAAGCAATTGCAAAGATGGGGTGGGAAGTTCTTGCACACCCCTCCTGTAGCCTCAGACTACCATCTTTTCAGATTTGTGAAGGATCAGCTGCGTGGACAACGTTTTGAGACAAGGGAGGCAATTCAGAAAGCAATGCATCAGTGTCTTCAGATGGCTGGAACGGAATTTTACAGAAGGGGAATTTTCAAACTCCCAGAACGCTGGGGAAAATGTGTGCAAAGAAGTGGAGATTATGTGGAAAAATAAAGAAAGGTTTGTAGATTGAGGTGCTGTATTTGGTTTGTCAATAATAAAGAATGTTACTTTACAAAAAAAAATGTTGCTCATGACTTTCAGTACGACCCTCGTAAATGCAGTTATTATTAAAGTAATGAAACCAGTAAGCAGTGAATGAGGTTGGCTTTTCTAAGGGACCTAACCAAGTAGGTGTCTCCCACCACCCCTTGGCGGAAACAGATTCAGTTTCTGATATGTCATATTCTCAAGTTTTTAGAATACCAGACAATGGACAAATTCCAAAGAAAACAGTAATTCTGAACGTATACTTAGCTTTCTCTAAGTATACTTCTAGACGAACTTCCTTACTGGCATCATTTAGAGATTCTGTGTTTTTCTTTAGGTATGTATGTCATCTCCCAGTAGATTTACATTATTATCATAGACCAACAGCTGTTGTGTCACATTTAATTTCAGTCCCACCTTAATGGACCTTCTTAATGGCATATTCTAAAGAAAAGTTTAAAAGGAATGGTAACAGAGTTGACAGATGTTTACCTCTATGGACTTTAGTATATGTTTCATTTAAACATGTTTTAATCAGCCAAATTAGTTTCATGGGTAGCCAAAACTCCATGAGAATATTGTACAGTACTTCCCTCCTAACTGAATCATAGGCTTTCTTGAAGTCTACAAATAGCTGATGTACTGTCTTATGGTACTCAAATTTTTTGTCCAGTATCCAACAAATGGAAAGATCTGATCAGTAGTTGATCTGTAAATGTCAAAACCCACACTGATGGCCCCCAGTAATTGTGACTAATGATGTATGAATTCTTAAAATATGCTGTTTATTTTCAGATGAATGGAGAGAGTCTCCTCCAATACCTCCACCAAGATACAAGAGAAAACATAAATTAGCATCCATGACAACTGTGACTCACATCAATAAAAGTACAGATAGAACTGTTGCAAAGATAATCCCACCCAAAAGAAGACATCGATCCACATCATCTGTGGAAGTGGCAGTAATTACTAATGATTGCTACTGCAAAGATTATAATAATCAAGACAATAATACAAATAGCATTGTAACCACAGATGAATTGATAACTAAGACTATGAATGATAAAGCTGTTAACAGCATTGAAGTTCCACATTCAGTTTGGCTCACTGATCAACCTAATCATCAATCCATTGATGAAAGAAAAATTTATGAAGTTAATAATGTGTGTACAAAATCTGAAGAATGTGACCAGAATGACAGTGGGGTATATCTGCCAGAAGCAATGCTTTCTGAAGAAACTGAAAAACATATTAGTTTGATCCAAACTGAAAGTGATTTTAGAAGTTCAGGCATTCAGGATACAATTAATTTTACTAGTAAGCATTTGATATCCTTAGATCCAGTTATGCCAATGTTAGATAATTCACACAAAGTTAGCAATGAATGTGAGGTGACTGCAGGATTGCTAAGAAATTTTACTTCATTTTTATCTGTTCCAAATGAGGATCCTAAGCACTTGTTGGATGAAGCACAGACCTGTGTACTATGTAATGCTCATCTTACAAAGGCATCTACGCCTATAGTAGATGATTCCCATATTTTAGTTGAGAATGTTGAAGAGGCTACCAATGATATTATAAACAGAATATGTAAGTGTCTTAACTGTGAAAGATCTTTAAAAAACTTATGTACAGAAAATAGTCGTTTATGTATGGATTCCAACTTTTCTATATGTGGCTCAGATTGTACTGGCAGTGTCTTCCATAAAAGAGAGAAAGAGCTCTGCAATGATGATTTGTCAGAAAATAAGAATGCAGTTCAATTCCTGCTACCTAAAGAATCTCCACCTACAGATGTAGCATTAGTATCCAGCATACCATTTTCTTTGAACCAGTGTCATTTTAACGATTTGAGTAATGCAACTGAAGAAAATACATGCATCAGGCAAAGTGGCCTTGGCCTCTTGTCCAGTAATGAGGAACAGAGTGTTTCATTCATTAAATATGATACTACTGACGGTAAGGCATCAAGTACTGATATCTCAGTAGTGAATGATTTGACTGATGTGACTAGCAGGAATAATTATACAGCCATAGCTAGAAGAATACCAAAGAAAGCATCTATTTGTGATGGAGGCTGTTGTTCATACAGTGCCTTGGAGAATTTTGAGGCTGTCACTCTCAATCAGGATAGAGAAAACCAATGGGTTGTTTCAAATAGTGCAGAAGTGGATAATAAGGAACATACATACTACAAAAGTAACAATTGCAAGACTATTACAAGCAAGGAAGAAGTGCATCCCAACAAAATATCAAAAAGCTTTCATTTGTTTCTTAAAAATATGTTAACAGATGATGAAGAATATGATCTCAATTATCAGAGGGATAATATACAAAGCTCTATTAATTTTAAGTGTGCTTTAAACCAAACTGAAGTTACCAACTCAACAGAAAAGACTAATAAAGGAATTATGTGTTTAGAATTAAGCAAGGAAGAACCTACAGGACTTCCTGGTCACTGCAAGGTATCACCCAGGTGTATTGTTGTAGAATCTTGTGTAGTGTGTGATAGTGTATGTAATGGCAGTGGATACTGCAATCAGCATGTATGTGATAGTGAAGACTGTTGTGTGATGTCACTTGTTAGTGTGGATACCACTGTACCTTCCTCTAATAAAAGCCGTCAGTCACCATTACATGGAGAACACCAGGTTTCATTAATCTCAGATTGCTGTAGCAACATGAAGAAATCAAAAGAATTAACTAATGATCTTAGTGTTGCTAATAAGAGCACTGAAGAGTCTGTTAACAAAACTAGTGAAGATATAATTAAAACAAATAATAAAGAATCTTTCATAACAGTAAACAAGAGTGCTACATTGCCTTCTTCCGGAAGTACGGATACTATTAACAAATCATATAATTATTCACATGATCAGATAGCAGGTAGATCTAATGCCCCAGCTATAGTTAAGAGCAGAGATAAACCACTGAAGAAAAATAAAATTAATGATGATTGTTTGGATCACTTGAGGACAGAAATGGAGAAAAACTCAGGTTAGTAATCACATGAACTTTCTATATATTAATATTTGATGTTAACAAAAGGAAATTTGCTTTAAGATAAGTCTTAAAATTGTGTGATGAAGGTTTGTTGTTAAATGTACACATTATCGTTTTGTTTTGGTTAAAGAAACACAACAATCCAACATTTCAGATGATGGTTCTGCTTCCATAAAGTAAAAGTATGATGCCTACTTTGTTTGGCCCAATAGAAGTAGCTAATCTCTATCACTAGACAACAATAATTCTAATCAGGGTATGTAAACTGTGAATGTCAAAAACACAGCTTGGAGTGGGAAGAGAGACTGACCCCTAAGAACTGTAAAGTTAATCATTTTACCTTAAAACCAAAATCTATTAATGTAAGTTGGGTGGGTGGAGGGTGGATTTTGGAACACTTACATGATAAAATTTTAAGGACCAACATTCAAGAATATAACAACTGATAAATAAAATATTGCAATGTAGTAGGAAAGCAGTATTTTAAATTGTTTAATTTTGGTCCGTTACACTATTATACACAAAATCAATACAAAGGAAAGCAGTAGATTCAATGAATGCTGCAGGCAAAAATGTCTACACCATTCCCCTTAAGACTAACACAACCAAAAGTCATACAAACTACAAGCAGTAGGTTCTGATTTCATCGAAAATTATAACAGTCCGATAAAATTAAAGGACTTAATTTCTTACTTGCATCTATAGTTTTGTGTGTGTATTTTCTTTTTAATTTCAGAAGTGCATGAATGTGGTGGTGAAAATAACAATAATTTTGAAAGGACAACTTATGTAAGAAAAGAATGGTTAATACCTGTCAAGAAAGAAGACGTGAAGAATAGCGATCACATGAATTCAGATGCATGTGAAGAATACCATGTTGAATTGGAAAAGATGTGGGGTAGTCTTGGACTAAAAATAGAGGTTTGTATCAGCCAAAGAAGTATCATCCTTGGTAGTATTATAATACAGTGATTTTGTTATGTGGAATCAGTGGACTGTAAAAATGTAAGGTATTATATTCTAAGTAAAAGTTTGTTTATTCTTAGTAGTCTTCCTTTTAATTTGTTTCAAGACTGTATTTTATCTTTCTAATAATTTCAGTCTTATTGACACTTATTCCTTTTCATATAATTTTGAAAGTGACAGCAGCCATGTAGAATTGTGTATTCATGAGTTCTTATAATAAGATTGTTTAGATTATTATATTTTTTCATGGCTTAAGCTTGTAATAGCATTAGTAGCTCACGTTTTATTATATGCTTCATTGGTTTTTAGAACCGCTATATTGGCCTACTCAATTTGAAACACAATTTTCAATATTGTTCATTTGAATGCCTTAATGTGCCATTGTAATTTGTTTTCATATAGTGCAGATACAACTCTGTGTATGACATTGATTTTTTATAGATTTTATATGTGCCAATCTTAACTACAAAGAGTTAAATTAAGAATTTCAGGCAGGCATGGACATCTGTAAAGCGTGTAATGTGTTAGTAGATACCTGTAATATTGATAATAGTGATGTTCATCACATGAATTCACCAAGACATTACATTTCAAGTTCAGTAAGAGACACCACTACTAGAAATTGAGGTAATTATCATTAATTCCAACCCACCTTTTTAATATTTGGTTGCAGTGTGGGAGGATTTACTTCAACAAAGTTGTGATTTCCCAAACTATGAGATTGATTAACCTTTTCACTGCAATCCTGTATTTAAGCATCCTGTTGCATTATTATATCTAAAATTGTGTATATACTACACAGTCCATCAACAGTGCAATGAATTGTTCCTTCTTTCTTTCACTTTCACTCTCGACACAACATATTTCGGCCCTAAATGGCCATCCTCAGGTGCCTTCCTATGCTTAAACTGCTACACTGCACTAACATTATCCATTCATTGCATATGCAGTTTTAGTATATTAAGACACCTGAAGATGGCCATTTAGGGCTGAAACATGTTGTGTCGAAAGTGAAAGTGAAAGAAAGAACGATTTGTTGCATTGTTGACGGACTGTGTAGTACATAAACAATTTTTCACTGCAGTCATCAAAGCCAGATTTCCTCTGTCCCACCGAGCAAGTCAGCTCCAGCAGTGATGCTTCTGAGTTTATTCAGAAGGTGATCAGTTCATATATAAGCCAGAACACTGACTGTTATTCATGGTTTTCCTCAGTCCTTCAAGCAGATGCCAAGATAACACCTTATTTTAGGCCATGTCCACTTCCTTCCACATCCTTTTCAGTTTGCCTCACATAATTGTTATTATCCTTCCATTTGAACCTGCATATTCTGAGATGCTGAGAAATTGTTAAAGAAATCGTAGAAACCCCATCCAAAGATTCTTATGTCAGTATTTCAGGTATTTTGTCAATAATTTTTCAACCTACATCTTTGAATCTGTCCTGGAATTCCAGCATTCACAAAGCATACTCAACTGTGTATGCCAGTGGTTCTCAAACTGTGGGGTGCGACCCCCAGGGGGGGAGCATACTTTCCTACAGATAAAAATTAAAATTGCCCTAAATCAATTAGAAAAGTAACAAAAAATAAAAATACATATAGAAAAACTTTTGATGAGTACATGCTTTTAATTATCATGAATTTCAAAATAACTAATAAGTGTTCTCTTTACCGGCAATTATAAAACGCGTATGCCAGAGACAGCGTTGATAGTTAAGCAGCGGCTTATGTCATCTCATTGGCGCCTGTTGGGCAGGGAGCAGGCGGTTTGTCACCAGACTTAATGGTGATCGACGGGTATGCCTGTTTGATGTTGTGTTCTTATGCATTCAACGTTTCAGTGCAGTTGTGCTGATTTGTTTACCTCTTGAAATTGACTTCATTATGAACAATTGATCATGAAGCATTTCCTGATTAGTTACAGAAATGAAAACACTAGTGCTCCTTCAACTAGTGGTGGGATAGAAGCTACTCGGAGTGTGAAAACGAGAAGGTATGATGAGAACTATTTATCTCTAGGCTTTACGAAAANTGTGGTCAATGATGAAGAATATCCGCAATGTGTAATCTGTCTAAGTATTTTAGCTGCAGATAGTATGAAACATAATAAATTAAAGAGACATCTTGAAACCAAACATCCGAAGTTTACAAATAGACCAAAGAATTTTTTTGTTAGAAAGCTTAGTGGTTTAAAGTCCACCCAACAGAAATTTGCTAAAACAACAAATGTGACTTCTAAGTCCAGGTTTCTCATAGAATTACTAAATGCAAGAAACCACACACAATTTCAGAAACACTGATTTTACCAGCAGCGATTGACACAGTATCAACAATGTTGGGTGACTCTTCTGCTCAGCAATTGAAAAATATCCCCCTCTCTAATGATACAGTTTGTAGAAGAATTTCAGACATTTCTGACGATTTACGTCAGCATTTAATTGAGAAGTTGCGTAACAAGTACTTTGCACATCAAGTGGAAGAAGCGACTGATATTCATAAAGATGCTCATTTAATTGCGTATGTTCATTTTGTTGATGAGTGTAATATGCGAGATGAATTATTTTTCTGTGAGCCCATCTTGAAAACAGCAACAGCTCAAAGCCTTTTCGACAAGATTAATGCTTTCTTTAATGAAAATGGGATATCATGGGATAAGTGCACTGGCATATATACAGATGGAGTTCATTCAATGTCTGGAGTCCATGCTGGATTACAAGCAAAAATGAAAGCTGTTGCTCCCGAAGCAGTATGGACTCACTGTATGATATATCGGGAGGCTTTGGCATCTAAAGAAATGAGCCCACCCCTTCATGAAGTGCTGCAGACGGTTGTAAAAACTGTCAATGTTATCAAGACAAATCCTCTGAAGTCTAGACTTTTTAAAATGCTGTGTGAGGAATGGGTGCCGAACACACTGCTCTGTTGTTTTTAGTGTTGCTCGATGGCTTTCAAGAGGCAAGGTATTAAAGAGAATGTTTGAGCTGAGGCATGAGGTGTTCTGTTTTTTAAATGGGGAAAATCATTCACTGGCAGACAGTTTCAGCAACAAGGATTTTTTATTGAAATTGGCTTACCTCACAGATATATTTGAGAAACTAAATATCCTCAACTCTTCACTTCAAGGGAATGAGGCAGCTGTACTTTCTTGGAATGACAAAGTGAAGGCATTCATGAGAAAATTAGAGCTCTGGAGAAACAGTATGGAAAGCGACATGCTAGACATGTCCCCTACTCTGGTGTCAATGGTACAAGACACTGATAATCCAGTGCTTCCAATGGACATAAAAAGCTGCCTACTTCAACATCTCATAATGTTGAAAGTTCATTTCGGGAAATACTTTTGCAATGATTTTGATGAATTTAATGGGATTAAAAATCCATTCAAAAATGCTCGTGGGCCATCATCTCTGAACCATGATATGTATGTATTGACCGTCTTCTAGTGCACACAATCTCACATGTCACTTCCTTACATGTTTCGGCATCACTGTGCTATCCTCAGGTGTGTAATTTACGTTAAACCATTGCACTGCTCGCCATCATATGTCGCCCATAAAATGATTTAAAATGTATATTCTTCACGTTATAAAATACCAGGTTTGCTACTGTCCAAGGGAATATTAACAGTCTAGTTTTAATAAACACACAAACTCAATTTAAAGAAACCACATAAAGACTACTATGAGTTCTTCAAATTCTATTCATAAAATGGTAAGGAATCATTCAATAAATTTCACCAAAGGCAAGCACATTAATAAATCAGGATAACAAAAAGTTAAATTTATGATGGAAGGTGCTTTTGATTAGCTTTCTCTCTCTTTCATTGCTGCTGATGATGATTCAGACAAGCTGTGATAAGAAATCTCAGGCAGAATTACAAGCCCATGAATCTCTTTTAACTTGATTTTTATTTCATGGCAGTACTCAGGGTTAATGCTCAGTTTATCTATTTCTGTGTAGTAGCAGGAGTCAGGGCATTTTTGAAGCATTCAAATTAAATATTATAAATGACAAGCATCACTTTTTTTTTGCACATACATACTTAAATTGAGTTGCAGGGAATATAATTGACAGACCTACAATAGTGGGTCATATTGCCCCTTTCAGACTATCAGTTGACCATGCCTGATGTAAAACAGTACATGCTATAAAAGCCAAAAAATCGTTTCCATTAATAAATTGGGTACATTCCAAAAACTTATGCTTTAAACTGTAATTTGAAAATTGTAGAATAATTTCCATCAAGTTATTATGGAAATTGTTCCAGAGGATGGTACTTTGAACTCTAATACAAATGTTTTGGACACTATAGCAGACCCATATTTTGTTAAGTGTTTTTTTCATTCATGTTTTTATAAATAGAATATTGAAAAGATAATTAATATAGTGCATAATTAGTAGTGCTTTGTATTAGTGTAATGTATTATACTTTGTCTTAATAATACTAATGATTTTATATTTATTCCACTGTCAGATCAATTCTGCCAGTCTTTTGGTTTCCATCAGAGAGTTTAAATTGTCAGTGAAATGAAAAAACTGTTATATATTTGAGTTTTATTGTTTGTATTAAACATTTTTATTCATGAATTTTGACTTTCATTTGAGTGATTACCAGAAAGACTCTGTGCTGGCATATCCTATAAGACTAAATATATCACGGTGAATTAACCATTCCTTGAAGAAAGCAGTCTTCTGGGATGTGGCGCTGTGTTAGCCGACGTTTCGGAGGAACATATCACCTCCATTTTCAGGGTAGAAGAAAAAAAGATGAAAATCTGCAAGCAAAGAACCATCTTGCAGATTTTCTTCTACCCTGAAGATGGAGGCGATGCGTTCCTCCGAAACGTCGATTAACACAATATCTACATGGCACCACATCCCAGAAGACTGCTTTCTTCATAGTCACCACCATGAAAACCTCAAATCTTACATAATCATTCCTTCCGTCTGCGGCTGTTCTGTTAATGATGCTGATGCTGATGCTGCTGAGGAGGATGATGATGATGATGATGATGATGATGAAGTTTATTGATGGCCATGTTTGTATGAACAGATTTTATTATTTTGGTGCTGTTATATTTATAAATCTTCATTGAACTTGGTTCATTTGTCATAATTCTGTAATTCTATTAGTATTTCATGACACTATCAGTTTTCTTCATCAGTCAACCTTTTTCAAAGTATATTCTAAATTATGTAATAAATAAATAATAAATTATATAATTAGAATGATCAAGGAGGATGAGATGGTCAGGGCATGTAACACGAATGTGGGAGAAGAGGAATGCATATAGGATATTGGTGGGAAAGCCAGAAAGAAAAACACCACTGGGAAGACCAAGACATGAACCTTCGGGTTCCATAAAATGCTGGGAATTCTTGAGTACATGCACAGTTGGCGGCTTCTCAAGAAGGGCTCAGCTCCATGAGTGATGATGATTCTAAATTATGAAAATGGATGGAGATTTCAACAGAATAAAATTATACATAAAAAAATAAGTTTCATATACTCGTACTTTGCTGTAACTCTGATACTGTCAGGTGTCATGTGATATACAAAGGGTATTGTGGAAGGTACACTGTATTCTTATTTTAGAGATCTGATAGGATAATATTTGCCTCATAGTAATGGCATCTGAATATGTGCAGTGGCTTTCTGGACATACAGGATATGGATCAGAGGACAGAAGAATATATTGTCAAACACATCAGTAACTAAAGATGGGCTTCAGATTTGTAATTGGATTTATTGACCACTTACAGGTCCTAACTACAAATAATTTTAACACTGTAAGGATTACTGTAATTATAACACATACATAACTTCTTAAATATCTGCTTACACTAGCTGTTGCCAGGTAACAGATCTCAACAATGGCTACACCTTTACAATGTCTTCACTGAATTACACACTCCAAATATTACATAAAAAGTCTTCTCTTCACAGCCACACTCTTGCAACTACCGCTTTTCTTCACAGCCTCCCGTACAGAACTGAACTCTCAACTGAAATCTCCTAGACTCCCTGTGACTAGATCTTCTAATCACACACAAAGTCTTCACAGGCTGACATATAATTCTTTGACTACAAATTTCCCATGGCTTTCTCCTACCTACACTGAATTCTGGTCCAATTCCCTCCCCTCAGCTCTGGTCTTATATCCTCTTGACATGGACCACACACAGAAAACACAGCACTGTACTGTTGCGTGACACAGCTCTGTATTGTTGCTTGAAGCAGACCACATAGAAAACACAGCTTCCTATATTGCTGCATGTTGGAACATGTTTACCGAGCTGTTGCCTAGAAATTGGTAGCATAACCCCATTCTATTGTTGCGTGCATGTATTACTTAGAAACAGCTGTTTCTGTTGCTCATTAGTTCTTGCTTGTAGTAAATATGCCACAATGTGTTCCTTATTATCTTGGATCACCTTTCTTTCACGTTGAAGTCTACATTTATAGAATATCTTGATATTTGAGGTTCTTGTGACAGTGACAATGAAGGATACTACTTTCTTGGACATAGTAGCCTGGTAGAAGTTTGGTGACATTTTTGAGGAATATACTGCCTCTGTCTTCGGGGTTGAAGAGTAAACCAAACAAACAGAGCAGCATTATGTTTGCTTGCTTGGTTTACTCTTTCATCCTGAAAATGGAGGCAGTACATTATGTTGGACTACATGGCGTAAGATGCTAGAAAATGTTACTGTTCTTACTGAATTCTATTTTTTAAAGCAACATTAAAGTACTTGAAATACACTAAATATCAAATGCTTATGATGTAAATCAACACTTAAAACAGATCTAAAATAAGATATTTAGTCTGCACCTAAGCAGGAACATGACCCTTCACACTTAATTTTGTACATATCTTTAAGTAGACCACAAATAGCAGCACAGAGTTTATGATAATAGTCACTGAGGAATATGCTTTGACAACTAAAATTTGGGTATGACCAAGGAATGAAGAGAAAGAATTAGGAAAGAGTTCCACATGTTTCCACCATGTTCACATATTTTTAAAATGTGAATTTTTATGTTTTAATATAATGTTTTCTTACATGCAGTAGGGCTGTTTGCTTAGCTCTGTGGGTTTTCTTTGACAGTCATGGCACAAACTTTGTGCCATGACTGTTACTACTGTTACTAGCGTTACTATGGAAACGACTGCTGGATTCGGAACATGTGACATGTTTTTACCTGTCACAGGTGTGACATCTATATAATAGGTACATTAAAAAAGGCGCGTATTCGAATGCAACGTTATATCAAAATTCCAAAGCAATTGGTGAAGAACTTTCGGAGATCTTCGACCAGAGACAAACGAACATTTACATTTTTATTTATATAGATGATGGAAGAGAAGGAAGTGGCTCATATTTAAAGAAAGAAATTTTGCAGTTATGAAACTGCAGCCATATTATTGCCATAAATTTTTAACTTAACATATGTGTGTCCTCACAGACTTACAAGATCTTTCTAGATATTTTCACATGTAGGGGGTTAGGTGTGACTGATATTTGTGAGTTTTAGATTTGATTCATCGGATTTATTAGATATCTGTATTACAATTACACTTGATTACAACAATTAACACATTTAACTCCTTCTGGATAATGAATCTCTCACTGCTGTCCGACCTCTAGTCTTCTCTTGCGCTCCGTAATTAAGTAATTCCATACTAAATTAATCCCATAACTCACTCATTTGTGTGGCAAACTCTCTTGTTCTGATGCTTCAGCGAATCATGCAGAAGTGACGTCCTTCGACAATAGAGTTCTCGCGTCCCTAGACATTACTGTGCTTTGACCAGTTTGTTGTCATGTGAACAGCCTTTAGCCATCTGTTGTAATGGAAATGTTTCTGTGTGCATTTCTAGGGATCAACATCTTTCTATGCAATACATTGCTTATTCAGTATTATTCGTTGTGGAAACATGTTCCAGCAAGTCATTACGTAGCAATGCATTCACATGTCAAAATATTTATTGGCTCCTCTCAGAAGTACAAAATTTGGCAGGTTATTTTGATTACTGAATATATTATTGTTCTTTTATTATTTATTTTAAGGGTTGTTTTATGACACTTTCAGTATCTGCACTATGTGGCATTGATGTACTTTTACTGTATGGCGTATATTTGTTATTCTGAGGAAGAAGCTCTAATTTGTTGCGTATGGTGCTTTATCAATACTTTCCCTACAGATAGTGCTTTAAATTTTTATACAGTTTCTTTCTGTCCATCCTTAATAAATCTATCTGTTACATGGAGTCTCAATGACTTACATGACAAGGGTGGAGCTATTTTGCTTATCACGTTGGCTTTGATGTCTGTTCTTTTCACATTACAATTTGTTGCAAAGATTTTCATGATGCACACAATGCTATATGTTCAACAAGTGTTGTGCTATATTTTGTAATATACAACATATTCAAGATTAGACCTTAATATTAATACAAATTTTTGTGCTTGGAACAAATTTAAAGTCGATTTTAACCTCATATAAAGCAGGAGTTACACGTAGTTTGGACTATATGGAACAAAATTAAATTCTGCTTTTCTCTCAATAGAGAATTTTACTGAAACATATTAGTTAGTTTCAGAGATGAACTATGCAGATGGACAGACACAGCTCCTCCAAATAATACATCTCTTTGATTCCCTCTGCACAAAAAGAAAAACGAAGCAGTTTCATTGATTTTATATACTTGCACATATTTATTCAGGGGATTAATTTATTTATAATGGTTGAAATTTTGCCATTGATGAATATATTTTAATTTTACTTGGGATCATATTATCTTATATTTTGTTGAAAAAACAATGCATGTCCTTACTGCACTGTTTTAAATAAGTTTAACTTTGTAACAACATATTCTGTTCTTTTTCATGTTTTGTATTGGTAGATATGGTCAGAATGGAACCCAGGACTCTTTGAATAATAACCATGTATCCTAACCACTAGAAGATTAGGGTATTGCAATGGCAACTTAGTACCTGAAGACGGGAGTAGGGTCAGCTTCAAAATTATGTATGTAAAATCGCAATAGACAGTGTCCGACATGTAAAAATGAATGTTTGAATGTATGAAGGGTGGGAATAATAATTCAGCCCTTGCATTGCAACCCTCAATGATCTATTGCCCCTCCCCTTTATATTAACCCATTATTAATCTGACATTTTGAATGAACTGTAGGACTTTGTTCATGGGGTCATCACAGTAGTCACTTGGTTCCATAAAGAACTGGCCCAAGTGATGAAATTTTAGGTACACTATGGCCTCACAATCACGTAGGATATGTGTGGTCAGTGTCCAACATAATTCTGATGTAACAGATCAGCGGTTGCTACTGATCTGTAGGACATATTTTAATAATCCTGTTATAGGGCTTAATGTTGTAAATAACTCTCCAGTTGACACAGCATCATGAAATAGCCTACCTTTCCTTGTTGAAATTAAATTAAAGGCTCTAGCTTAGGTAACATAAAAATAGAATAATTGCTGCAGACAGAAACATAAGTGGTCACTCAAAATTGTGTTTCTGCCAGGAGTGCTCAAATTTCCCATGGATCCAGATCAGTGATATTCTTCCAGGGGGTGCTGCACAACAGAATGGCCATATAAAGAAAGGTAGGGAGGTATATTCTACAGTTTTACAATATTTGGCTGGTTCATATTACATCTTTAACATGTATTCAGCAAAGTTAAGAAAAGAAGTTGAATTTTCAGTTGTATCATTTAAATTCAACATGACTGTGTTATTAGACCTGATGATGTAATGCCCACTATACATTATAACTGAGTATAGTATTTTTTTTTTTGCTAGTGGGGTGGGACTAAGACCCTTGTACAGCGGCCACTTCTGGCCTATTGTACCAGCCCTAGATGATAGGTGAGGGTGATTGTGGAGCAATTGGTGGAACTAAGATTGGTAGGGGAAACCGAAATACTCTGAGAAAACCTGCCCCAGCATGACTTTGTCCACCACAAATCCCACTTGACCAGACCCGGGATCGAACCTGGGCCGCTGCGGTGGGAAGCCAGCGACTAACCGCTTTAGCTATGGCACGGCCTTTGAGTATAGTAAGTTACTGCTATTTACTACAGTAGGCATGACCAAGGGCCAGTGAATGCTAGTCATAATGCTGGGTTCAATTCAGAATTAGTTTTGATTTTCAGCATAGAAATACAGGGCAAGTATTTCATTTACAACTGCAGTGTGTTACAGAGAAATAGGAGTTCTCAGATCTTTCATTGTTGTAATTTAAATAAAAAGGAGTCGCATGTTTAATATTCAACATGGGCACCAAGTACATTTAAAGCCTTTTTTCTGGTGAAAATCATTGTCCACTTCCCATGGTGAGCGTTGCTAGTGTCACATATTCTGAAGAGTCTTGACATTTTTATGTATGAAAGGCATGTCAAATGTATTAAATTAGTAGTTACAGTCAGTGTTATCCGGCATTGCTGCATAAATAAAATGCACTACTACAAGCTGGATAACCAAGACTTTAGTCCTCATAGAGAAATGATGTAACAGTTGAGTGAAGAAGACTAATAATAATCTTAACGATTTGTGCTCTTTATCTGATATTGCTACAGCAATTAAATCAATGTGAGATGGGTAATGCATGTAGCAGAGAAATGAGGAAATATCAAAAATGTACGAAAGTTTATTTGGAAGGCTATTTTGGGAACATATAGTTCAGATGGTACAGAATCTAAGACATGGGCTAAATGGCCGAAGAGTCAGGGTTTGATTCCTGGAAGGGTTAAGAGATTTCTCAGATTTTTGGACTTTGTCCATCACCTTTGCCTGTATACAGAGGCCATAGGATAATTTTAAAATGAATCTTAAGGTAACCAAGTTGTGAAGGTATGAGCTGGCTTTAAACGGCTCAGGATAAAGTTCAATAATAGGTTTGTATAGCAGTAGTGACGAACCTTCGTGTTTCAGCAAGAGATCTCGATCAATTAAGCGAATGTCTGTAGGATCTGAGGCTTTCACGGCGGTGGTTATGAAGAAGTCTATCTTATGGGATATAACTCGGTGCAGTACAGTGTTCAGGGTCGAAGAGTAAGCCGAGCAAGAAATCAGCATGAAGATGGCAGCAAACAAGGCTTCGGAAGATGGGGGCGATGTGTTCCTCCTAGAAGGCGGTTGACTTTCACCGGGCTACATGGCTTTATATCACAGAGGACAGAACTCTTCAAATAAATATCTTACACCTGCCACCAAGGGGAAAGGGGGTTATACTTTCAAGCCTATCCGACATTAGCGCATAAATTGTGGATTGTCTTAGGTAGGCCACACACCGGCATGTCTCAAGACATGTAAAGACGCGTCCACATTACTCCTGCTCGCCAGGCTTGTGCTCGTCGGGAGACTCGTCTGGCTTTTACTTGTGCCAGTAAATCTTCATCCACACTACTTCAGTTGCTCGCCAGGCTTCGGCACGTGAGGATCCGTATATTTACTTGTAATGTGTATAGGCTGTAGTCGTATTTTAATTTATTGGCTATAGTGTTTAAATTAAAAATTCGCTTGTCTCGTTACTTGTCATATCGTCCACATTACTCGCGAGCATAGCGAGTCACACGAGCACGAGTACGAGTAATGTGGACGCGCCTTAACAGTCAAGACACGATATCTGCGACATGGCGCAAAGAAAGGAGCACAGTTGAAAGGAATGAGGTTATGAAAGCCCCGCACACCGGTCTGACACATGATGCTGACGTCATGACTCAGACGGTGGTGCGGCGGTTTTCATAACCTCATCAATTACGCTCCTTTATTTGCGACATGGCGCAAAGAAAGGAGCACAGTTGAAACGAATGAGGTTATGTAAACTCCCGCACACCGATCTGAGACATGATGTTGACGTCATGACTCAGACGGTGGTGCAGCGGTTTTCATAACCTCATCAATTGTGCTCCTTTATTGCACCATGTCACAGACATCGTGTCTTGACTGTTACATATCTTGACGCATGCCGGCGTGCGGCTTACCTTAGATTTAATTTCGATAATCTTAATATTTCAGCCATATTAGTAGACACAGATTTTTTCCTGCTTTGGATTTTTGGTAATCTCTGGAAGCAAATCGGGAGTAGGAAGTAGTTGTGATCGTTGAGTCTTGTCAGGGATTCTGATGGCTGGACTCTCAATGCCGCTCAGTGCTACAATGTACTGGATCCGTGTAAGCAAGTTCTCCTGAGCTTCTGTGGTGTATTTAAAGTGTAAGAAACAGTGATATCATCATAACCATGTGATATATGTCTGCAAGCACCTGCAAGTGACTACAAGTAAGTACTATTTAATAAATTACCCATATGCGAAAGCACTGTGGTCTTAACCTCCCCACGTACCGCACTGGCATGTACTAGTACAAAAGGAAAATTCTGTATATCAACATGAACATTTCTAACAGTCAAATTTGGCCGCGCCATAGCTCAAGCGGTTAGTCGTTGGCTTCCAACCGCGGCGGCCCGGGTTCAATCCCGGGTCTGGTCAAGTGGGATTTGTGGTGGACAAAGTGGCGCTGGGGTAGGTTTTCTCCGAGTACTTCGGTTTCCTCTGCCAATCTTCATTCCACCAATTGCTCCACAGTCACCCTCACCTATCATCTCGGGGCTGGTACAATAGGCCAGAAGTGGCCGCAGTACAAGGGTCTTAGTCCCACCCCACTAGCAATAAAAAAAACACATCTTTCCATTTGACTTTTGTTTTCTACGAAACTTGGAAGTCGCAATAATGATTGTCCATTTTCGCTTTCTTAGTGTATGACCTCTACGTTACCTTGTCACCATGGCTTGACGCGTCCTCAGGTTGCGGATGGAGGAGACGCCCTCCAGGTATGGAGGATAGCTGCGAATATATTGAATAAACAGTCGCGGACAGCCGACAAGGGGTGGTCCTCCGGCTTGGGATTTGGGCCTGGGGCTAACAACTCCTCCCCGTAAAAATTAAGCTTGGTACAAAAGATCATAAGAAACATCGGACCTGGACATATTCCTTGGGACCCAACGAACGCTGGTCAGCTGCAAAAAGACTCCCACCTAGTGAATGGGTTACTTTGTCGGAGCAAGTTACCATCAGATAACGGCAGTTGTGCAGCGCTTGTGAATATTTTATGTCTCAATTTGCTTCGTTGTTAGCTGGTAATGTGGAAGCATTCCATGCGCGTAGTACTCCGTTTTATTTGCAGGGAGAACAATTAATTTGAGGACTTTTTTTATTGCTAGTGGGGTGGGACTAAGTCCCTTGTAATGCGGCCACTTCTGGCGTATTGTACCAGCCCCAGATGATAGGTGAGGGTGATTGTGGAGCAATTGGTGGAATGAAAATTGGCAGGGGAAACTGAAGTACTCGGAGAAAACCTGCCCCAGCGCCACAATTTGAGGACTTCAGCGTCCATCAGAATCCTGAAGGGGCCGTCCTGCGGTCATTTGTGATCTTCCTGTTTTCATTGATGCATTACGTTCCTCAGATGAAAAGAGAATCGACCCATTATTCCAAATAAATGGCAAATCGCCAGTCTTCATTTTCTCCTGTAATCTGAAAAAAGAAATGATAGATGTTCCTATGAGTCTCATTCTGTTACGAAGAAGAAAACTGAACTTTAAATTGCCTGGAAGCAGAACAAACTACTTTTTAAATTATTATTTTTATAAAGTAAAAACGAAAATAAGTTTAACGGTTCTTCAGAAATTGTGATCAGTGGGTATATAAAGCAACCAGACAGTGATCACACTGGCTCTGATTCACTGTCTACTGGCTCTGTGCTGAAACACAGATAATCAGAGCTTCTGTACCTTCTAGTATCCTTTTTCGCATGCACTGGCATTTTGTTTGTGTTCACTCGTGTAACAGTAACTAGGCTTGGCTTCCCAACACCCGACGCCACTAGCTGTGCATCCGTAACACGCAACGCTTTGCTGTTGTCTATAATCTCGTATACATGACAATTTAGCGGAAATTAATACGCAGCTAGGCTTACTGAACACGTACATTAAAAACATGTGTAGGGCACAAGGTTCCGAGGGCGAGGGCGAGGGTCATGTTACAACTGACGGTCGGTCAGTCTGTCTGTCTTGGTGTCGAGCCCCATTTCTTTTCAATGAAAGTTACCGTCCTGTCCATGTGTAGCGCCCTCTCTGACGAGAGGTCGGGTCTGTCATCTGTCAGTCAGTCTGTATTAAGTCTATTGTCTGTATTTACATACATTTACAAATACACACTTAATCCTTACTTCTATGTACAATATATACACAGCCTCTGTACAAGGTTCCCTCTAAGCCGAAGATGCAAGTGCGCAAGTCATGGTGTCCTATGCGCACCAATTTGTTTCGGTTGGGCAACCCGGTTGGGGGGTGGCGGGGGCAGCGGTTTTCGAAAAGGGTCCATAACAGACATTACATTCATAACCTCCTATAAATAACAAAACAAAAAATTATAGTATACTGTTTCATTTTGTATTTATTAATTGAAATTGACTATTCACTAAATCAATAAATGTTAGGACAATAAATCAAAAAGAACTAATCCAAACATTGAAGCAATAAAAATACGTGTATATACAGCCTTCGTAAAAGTTCACCAAATAGTATGAACATCTGTGAAAGTTTGAG